GGCGATGTGAAAATCTGTAGGGAAAAATGTTGAGAATTTTCTTCCCTATTATCCACTATTTTCCATAATAGACGTTAGAACACATACCATGTAAATCGATTAGTAGTGAAAGGTATGATTAATATCTTGTAGTTTAGAAATAGTTTTAACTGTTAGCTATCGAAATAAGCCGAAGTTATGATATCCTCGGTTCCTTTGTATTACTAAGATTATGTCGTCATCAATTTTGTATTAAGACTGCATTCGGTTTTGAGTACGATTGTTTTGTAGATGCCGGATAAAACGATTGAATTTGAGGGCTTGTATAGAATGATCTGATTATTTGTCAATCATTGCCAAGGATTTACAAAAATGCAATATAGAATGTTGTTTAAATGTCCTATTCTTTTCATGTCAAGTTTACCTAGTATAAAGTAGGGCAATTGTAAATTGATTGTACAATCCTACAACTGTACTTTTCTCTTTCATGTTAGACAACGAAGGTATGACTGTATAGGTTAGTCATTGCCGATTAACAAGACCATCCATAATATGTATACGAAGACTGTGTATGCAATCATTTACAGTGTATAGATGCGCTGGCTATCATGATTAGTGAACAATGTCGACGTATAGATGTCAGATTGAATAACAAAGCACGTCTTTAATGAGGAGTTTCTCTTAAGAGCCGTGACTATTTTGTAACTATTGTTTCATTTCCATCTGCCCTATCTAAACTAATCATGGCCTTCTCTCTATTTTTCTTTTCCATTTTAGTACAAAGTATATTGTTTATTTTTCTGAGCATTAGCCGAAGACAATACTGTACCGTGTTAACTTTTAGTCCAGTTTGTTTTCAATCAACCTTCTAGTTGGCCATGGGCCGCCTTACTGTATTTGGCAGCAGATGGCGATTACGTAATTAAGGCTAACCATAATAAAATGGAATATTGCTGTCACGGTTCATGTTGAGACTTTAAGAGGTTTTAGGAATTAAAATTTGCTAAAAGATTGACTTCTAAAAAATATACTTATCTGTTCTGCAGCTTGATGTTATATTGCTATTTGTCTTAAACCATGCAAAGAGATAATATTCTATAGATTGTTTTAGCTTTTACCTGCATTACAAGGGCAGCTACCTCGCAGCTTAAGATTGTTTCGTAACAGAACTTGCATGTCATGTTATCAAAATTGTTCATAATAGCCGGACTATCGAAGTTAGTCTACCAGCTTTTTATAATGTGCCTTTTTAATAAATAAATGATGGCATCATTAAAATGAGAAACTTAGGACAGAAATGCCACACTTCAATGGTTATGGTTTATCCTTTCCATTTAACGTACTACTGGTAATAGATAGCAAATTGAAATAATACAATAATGCCCGCATATGTAGTTTAGAAAGGAGGTGGAGATAGTTGATTTTGCACACCTACAGGTAGTAAATCGCTTTGGTTATGACTTTAATAATCATTACCTATTGGAAAAATTGGGGGTATTGGCTATTGGACTTGTAAGAGTTATTTCTTGTTCACATTACATGATCATAATACTACGAGGAATGTGGTAAAAGCCCACTGCCGTAATATACGTTACGAATTTAGATGTTTCTCAAAATGCGGAAAATTTTTACTTGCAAGAGTCTTAATATTGCATTAATCGTTACAATTATTTTAACATGGGATATCAGTCTAAGTGTAATAGCAAATGAATTTATTTAGTGGATACTATGTCTTCATAGCTTGATTCTAATCGTTGTCAAATTCATATTTTGAAATTATGCGCAAATCATTCAACATATGGCTAAAATGATTTATTGCACCTGGTGTACCTAATTTGCATTTTTGTAACAACATTTATTAGTATGCAGGTATAAGCTTGTTTGAAATTGAACTGTGGATTAATACTACTAGTTGCCATATCCATTTAATAAACAACAAAAATTCATTTATGGACGTGTGTTATGGCTTGATACTTGTAGTTATTGCATACACTATTGCATATTGTATGGTCCGTGCGTGTCCATAGTTGCGGTATATAGTGTTTGGAAGATAGTTGTTGACTCCATTGGTTGCATTTTACTATCGTTCATCATCGCTGCTAGCCAATGTTGCAGATCAACTTGGCGTTGGTTCATTTGGTAGCATAGACGGCTGATCGTCGTCACAATCGTCATGTCCATTGAATCTATCGTATCGTCTACTAGGCACTAAGATTGCAGTCAAAGTATCACTATCGCTTAGTTATTGAATTGAAAATAGTACAGCCTAACTATCATGGTATCCAGTTGGTATGCAACATAGTGTAGCCACTTTAGGTGAATTTTTGGCATGCAATTCTCTGTATCCTATATGCAAACATTGAGATTACTTTAGCAAGGTAGCAAGGTGGTAGTGAATTCTGAAAGCAATGGATCATTATGCAGTATACTGTACGTTGAAGCAAGGATCTTTGGAATCTTTGAGTCACTCGTTGGTGCAGTAGTACTAGCTAAAAGATTTCCTATTTCAAGCCTATATACGAGTACTATCATCAGCATAGCATTTGTATATTCTTGAGAGTGGACTGCGCTAAGGTAAGAAGAAATCCGCTCTGGGTCGAGGGAGCACTCTTCAGTTACCATAGTGGTTGCTGGTAGTTTGGATGGCAGGGTCGACGCCTACCGCGAGGCAACGTTTGACTACCCCATTTTCAAACATCTCCACCAACACGTATGATTGGCCAGTCTAGTGTAGCGCGTCAAGTGTCTACTGTCGTCAGTCCATACGGTACAGTGTCCATCGTTGTGTACCGTACCGTACCGTAACGTGATTGAATGGGATGGAGGTTGTGAGTCATGCCAATCATGTCATCCCGGCTAGTCCATACTAAGCACTGTATAATGTCGCTATCGTTTGATACCCTCCAGTGGTGACTATTGTTGAATGGTTGAAACGCTTTCAACTCCCAATCTGAATGTCCGAGGCGATGATGGCCATTGTTGACTTGCGCAGATGTCACGTGCCATCATTGACTTGTTGTATATAGACTTGGAAGTGTACGACCAATCGATCGGCGTCATGACGCGTGCCTTTATTGATTGTTCGATGGATGGAAGCTACGCCCCCCCTCGGTACGACTGAGAAAATTTATATTGGCAGCACCTGGCAGGCGTAATTAAGTCTACAGGGCCTAAATTTGAAAGAAAAAACATCTGTTGATCGCTTTTATTTCTATGTAATGCTCGCAGGTGTTCATTAAATCGGTGTTGTACCTAGACAACAAGATAGTCTATAAAAACCCGCCTACCACTAGTTTCAAGCTTCACAATTTACTTTGCTGCTGTTGTTAGCGAGTCCAAGTTGGAAAGTCGAGTTTTCTTCACCACCGGTTGAACTCAACACATCACTTCTTTTTTACCCCCCCCCCCCTTTTCCTCCCCCCCCTCTCAACACATTGGGCCTACGACAAGTTTGAAAACTTGCTTCTCATTTTGATTCAACATCAACCTTTTTCGCTTTCGTCTACTCGATTAGATTGGGTAAGCCAAGAATCTACTAATAATCAATCACTTGTTGCTTACATGGACAAATACAATAACTTATTCTCACTGCATGATCGATCGTTTGGACTCGCTTTTTTTTTTCCATTGTTAACTCAATCTCTTGCAGTAGTAATTTACCGATCATGTTATTCAAGATGAGAGATTATCTGCAAAACCCACACTATATAGTAGATATCGGATAGAGTGGATAGGCATGGATCATCATTTAGTCAATCTTTTCACTTGTTACTGTCCATACAATCATCGACAAGTCATGATAAACTCCATCTACCGTACTGTACTAGATGCCTATCATCATGGCTATTTTCTTTTCTTTTCATTTTCGTCTTGAATATTATTAATAATAAAGCAAGTCTCTTGCTTACCTAATGCCCTATTGTCGTATTGCGTTTATTGTAGGTTGTTGACAGCATACCGTCCAGAAATTGCCTGCAATCACTGGCTTAATTACTGCTTTACCAACGGACTTGACATCCATTCCCAAGGGAAGACTTAATCCTAAACGTACCATCAATCAAGGGCAAATTGCTTTTTAATCTAGCTGCTTGGACTACATTGAAAGTCATTACTCTACTACTGCTTCGCTGACCGACAACATTTGATCTACCCGTTTGCTTTTGTACTACCTTTTCAAAAATTTCTTTGTCTTACGTCGTCCAATTGGTCTAATTTACTACTGAAAATTATCTCCCTATCTGAACTATACCGTACAACAAAATACAATCATGACGTCTATGGCTGTTCCTCCTTCAGCTGGTCCTAAACCAAAATCTTTCCGCCGAATGAATCCTGATGCTGCTGCTGCTGAATGCTTACTATCAATGTCGACTGCTGCCGATGTACGTAATAAAGTTTTCTATACTGCTGAATATGCTCGATACCATCAACCAACTATTGTTGCACCACCACCATCTGAAAGTCAAATGATGACAGTGGCTAAAATTTTAGCTGGTCTTAGTGGAAGAGAGATCGATAAACTACCCAATATGCATCATCAACCAACGCCACCCACATTTTATCAGCCTCTGTCTCCCCCTGATAGTAATCCTGGTTCTGCTTCATGTTCCCCAATTAAAAATTTTATTGTCGACTATGCCAATCCTAGTATTCAACTCCATCCTGCCGCTTTCCAACATAATCCATATTATGCTTATTGCTTTGCTGAAAAACCGATCGAAATGGCAGCTCTACAACCTCCTACGGCCGTCATGCCTCGCCCTCAACAACAACAACAACAACAACATCATCATCATCATCATCATCATCAGCAATTACCACCCCAAACTCGAATAAACACTACCCCAATTCCGCCCAAGTCGATCAACGCAACGGTAACTACCAATCCTTCCAAGAATGTAACGAAAAGTACAACTACAACATCAACTACAGGCAATAAACGTGGTCCAAAGCCAAATTCCACACCTGGAGCTAAGCGAGGTGGTGGTCGAGGTCGACGTGCTCAGCCAGGACCTAAAAATAAAAAGATCCACGCTTGCCCTTATGATGGTTGTGGTAAAGTCTATGGTAAAAGTTCCCATTTAAAAGCTCATATTCGAACCCATACAGGTTAGTAAGTTGACTCTTCATCATTCGTCTATGTTTTCTCCCTCTTGATTTGCATACGTTACTGGTCATGCATTCATCATCGTCGTTGTCGTTGCCGACTGTACATGTACATATTTTGTCGTCATATTAAGAATAGTTTGTTTAATGATAACGTTATTGATGGCATGTGGTAAAATAAAAAAAAGATCGCCAACAATCATACAATGATAGTGATTTAACATTCCGAATCAATACAGTCCTACTCCAATATCAATTTCAAATGGATCTCGTCACAATTAGTTACGGCAAGCATAGCGTTAACGTCTTGATGAATTACAGTGGAAAAATTTTCTCACTTGATTTTATAAAAATACCCACACTCAATGTTCGATTAATATACAAGCACGTATGGCACGTTAAGATTTACACGCTCCTCCGCTTGCATTATACCGTTGATGAATATCTTGCATAATACGCGTATGATAGTTTTTTTTTTGTCAAGACTGTTGCATGAGACAAATCAATACGTACAATCTATTTACAGCGATGGAAAAGTAGGAGTAATTTTTGCAGCAATCATTTTATTATTCATGTCAAAAGATGGTGTGTCAACGGTAGGGGGGGGTTGAGGATAATCAGTATGTGTCATGGATATAAATCCCAATCATCCGAGCTATCACTTCATCGATCATCAACATCATTTTATTCGTCTATTTGAACCCCATGCTGATTTCGTCCGTTAAACAAAAAAAACCCGCTCTCTAATTTAAAATTGTTTACCATCTAATGTGCAATCAGAACATTGACATTAGTTAAGCTGGCGTGACTCCCGTTGTTACCAGTATACAAAAGGGCGATAATAGAGGTCCACTGTCCAAGTTTTAGCATGACGAAGACTATGACAACCGCTAATCCCATTAAGAAAAAATATGCTATTGATTATTCTGCCCATCAATGACAATATTAACTGTATTAATGCTGTTGTTATGCTAGCGTTGGCAAATATCCAATGGAAAATATTTCACTTAACTTGATTGCGTGGCTCGTGCCACCGATGCGATCATCTACTTATCAACCTAACTAGCGCTTAGTTGTTAACAAACAAAGCCACCCCAAATTGATTGATCAGAACAATACATCCATCGGCCATTTTTACTCTGAAAGACACGATGGCTTGTTGACCCCATGCACGTCTTGATAGTATATAGTACTTGCGTGACATAATGTCCATTTTCATTCGATAGAAATAGTAAATTTTTGAAAATGTCTTGCTTACACCAACTGAATAGTTGATTAACGTAATGACTTTTTAATGTGGACAATCTAGAACGTTAATAACATCAATGTTGACTGTAACAGAAGTAAAGTAGTCAGTCGTTGGTAGCGCTTGAGATGAATAATTAATTAATTAATATACTATGATATCTTAATTTATAACGGTTGTCCAACTTTTGATATAATTTCGTAGGTGAACGTCCTTTCCCTTGCACTTGGTCTGAATGTGGTAAAAGGTTTGCTCGATCCGATGAATTAGCTCGCCATTATAGAACTCATACTGGTGAAAAACGCTTCGAATGTCCAGTCTGCAATAAGCGTTTCATGAGAAGTGATCATCTATCCAAGCATGCTAAGCGCCATGCTAATTACGTTCATCCTACAGGCAGACGAGGACCTTACAATAAAAGCAAAAAGAATACCGTCAATAATTCACCCATAAAGAATGCAAGTACGACCATTAAGATTACTGCGGGTGCAACACCAACTTCACCTAGTAAAACAGTTACTTCTCGTTCGGTAACACCTGTGTCGAATAGCAAGAGCAATAGAGCCGCTGCTGCTATAATCGCTGCCGCTAAAGCGACTACAGCCACAACGATCACCGTAACAAGTGCGTAAAACTAATCATAATGTGTCATATTACCATTGGAAATTATAGCCTATTTCATCGTTATTGTCAACTAAAAAAGTCATTTTTGGTTGAACGTCGTATCGAAATGATACTCGATGCTATGATCCTAAATACTGTCTATACAGTGTATATCGATGATGGACAAAATAACAGTAAATAATCAGTCGATATGGGTACGTAGACGAATTGACTACTTGCTTCAAGTAATCGTTGTCTTGGATATCGCACTGATATTCTTGTACTTTTCTGTGTATGTGTGTGTGTGTATGTGTGCTTGTGTGTGTATTCTATATGTATTTCTACTTAGTTTGTTACGATTAATTCAGTTCTACTGTATAGTAACTTAATTTTCTTAGCTAACGTTTATCATACTGTAATCTTGAAGTTTATTCAAATTCAATGAAACAGCTTTAAGTCGTACAAGTTGGCATTTTACTGAATGGTTTTATAATGCTACACTCATTATTGGCTGTCATGACTTAAGATTTTTGCTATTCCATTTGATACTTGGCTCTACGACATTATTATCGTGAGTCATAATGTAAAACACTAAAAGTTATTTCATGTAATATTTTATGTAACATTACATCAGTATCATATCATTTTTTGTACAATATGATACCCATTTGTACTTGTTTATTATATTGACTGGCGATTTTTTATAGCTCTACAGTCAATGCAGCATCATTTGCTTTAATTAATCTAGTTATCAATATGGGAGATGTGATACATTTCTGTCCGCATTAACTGGATATGCTAAATAGCTTTAAAACTGATTCTGTTTCATTTTGTTATCAGTTTTGTTATCATGAACTTCTAGTATACACTGTACTAAGTACGTATTTTTTAGTTTATTTAGGTACTTTAATTCTTTTTTCTATTCTACAGCAATACCATTGAAGTTCAGTATTTTCTAAGAAATGTTTTTTGCACTATAAATCATGCATTCTAAGATAGCAAAAAGTCTATGCATTGATCTGTTCAACGTTAATTCACAACTACAGCTATTCTTACTTATAAATAAGTAATGAACCGTAATGACGGAAGACGAATTTTTGTTAACTGGAGTGGCTAAGCTACATTAGCTTTTGATACTGCTTTCTTACAATTTTTTTGCTATCATGGAAAGGTTTTGCTCTCCTGTAATTTTTCTATCATTTCTGTACTTTAACGTGCAGGATAATATGAGTAAAGCACCTTGATAAACTGATCCGATTTTGTTCTCTCTTGCTGCGTAATTTTGTCATGCACGTTCCATATTTGCTTTGTTACTCATACACTTTATTTGTAAAAATCAAAAAAAAGGGATAGCGGCACGTTTAAAATCTTTAAATTAGCCAATTAGGAGGCAGTTAAACAAATAAAGCAAAGTAAATAGTCATTCATAAAATTGGACTAAATATGCAAAGTCGTTAGCTTACTGCATTTTAATTAATGAGTCTAATTACGCATTGTTTTCTGGAGTTAAAAAAATTTTAGGATTGTATTTAAATAACAAATATTTTACTAACGTACAGTAGTTCAACAGGGTACCTTTCCACTGTAAAGTAATGGTAGCAACGGCATGTTATACATATCCTGAGGAGTTTCTCTGTCTTAGTAAACTATTTGATAATGTAAGTGGAAGTAGCATGTTCACAACTCGATCTAAATATTAACTATTTCGACGAAATTTATATATAGAATATACCTCAATCGGTTACGCATGCTTCACATACAAAACAGAAAGGATTGATGATTTGCTCTCACTTGAAAACGTGACTACATTTTTTCAGTATTATACTTGTAATGTCAATTTGACGGGAGTCAAGTCTGTAATAGAAAAGTCTTATTTCTTTAGCTAAAGGAATACAAGGGCACTGAGCTTGGAAGTCGGTGAATTATCACCGAAAATGAAGTAATGACCGAACGTTGTGCTCGTAAGATCAAAAAAGCAGGAAAAATTCACGTGTAATCAATACAGCAAAGTTGAAATGGTTTCAAAATCAATTTTTCTATTTTTTATTAGTAATTTACTGTGCTAACTTTAAAATCAAGTTTATTATCCTACTGACAAGGTTGTGAACCCTTTAGTTTTCGAATATCATTGATACTTGAGATCGATCTACCCAATCAGTTTACCCTCCTATTTAAAACAGTACCCAGGAAATTAGATATCTAGTAAAGAACATCCTCAAGACACCGAAATTAGCTTAGAGAAGCATTTTAGCTTTGACAAGAGGGTTTAATACTGTAAGTCTTTCGGGTGTGTATAAAGTTGGATTAATTACCGATTTGAAATGTTACTTCATCGACGAAATAAAGACCATGATTGACACTGTCTACATTTTCGGCTTATCAAATGAAAAACTCTGCTTGTGTTCTCAATGACAAAAATAAGTAACGATATTGTTTTCTGATAATACATAATAGTGATACTCTAATCTGTGGATAATGAATGATAAGATAGCAAATTACATCAGCATTAAATCGCGAATCGATCAATAACATCCTGAGGCGTGAACATGCATTTGTATTTTTCACTCAAGAATGAATAATGCTACTTGTAAATAATGCGAACGGTTAGAGGAAAAACCGTTTAATATAGTAAAATTTTAGAACTGTACTAAATCTATGGCTGAAATTTCGATTATTTCAGTAATCAATAGGGTTTCTAGTTGACGTTATTGTTAGGGTAGATTGATCATTAGAATAGAATCAAATTTCAGTTAAGAAATAAACTTATGGCGATCATTTACTTTTTTGTTAGTAAAATAAGTAGCGAAATCAAAGACAAATATTCTACAGTACTACCATACTGTACCGTACATAGAGTCAATTCTACGCGTAGTTACAGTCATGGGGATAATTCGTAGAAGTCAAACAGTTTTTAATTTACTATTTTTATGCGATAAATTAGTTCAGTCAGTGAAATAAGTTATAACAAAAACGACATATTGCATATCTAACAGAGGTTTGTAGTTACACGGGTTTACTAAATATTACAGGGCTATGCTAATGAAGAATAATAAGCCTCATTAGCATAAATACTGTCTTTAAGATTTCTTCCACCATACAGTAATTTCCCACGCGAATGAATGTGAAAGGTGGGTACAATTTCATAATCAATTACATTTTTGCATAAATGAAGACAAGGCCCTTTGACTTGATGAACAAATTTCGTAGTTGAGCGAAAGGGTATGCTCTAACACTACAATATTCTATTGAACGGCGTCAAACCACACTTACGGTATCTCGTCCTTTAATTTAATAGGACCGACAGATTTGTAACTTTATGATCAATCACAGTATATCTGCGATTAAATATCTATTTCAACCCAAATTTCATCAATAACGAGTTCACTAAATATGCTACGGTCATACAAGGTATCACTTTCAACAGTTGATATTAACTACCGCACCCATGAACTACGGATACTACTCTACTGAATAATCGATGTCTGCTTTTATCCATGTAGATAGACACAAAGATTGAACAGCAACAAAGTAATGCTATTAAGGCAGTAAAGGCCCTCGCAGCTCCTATTGTGAGGAATAGATTCCTCCCATAGGAAAAATTTAAGGCTTTCTTACTACAGTAAACTATATATCACTTCAAATTTATTCGGAAAGCCTATTACAATTGTTATATTTGTTTCCCATAGGAAATAAAGTAGTAACGAAAGTGAGCTATAGTATCGATACGTAAAGTATTTAAAAAATTTTATTACGCATATTTTAAGGCTATCATGTATAATTTTAAGTTAACAATGCAATCTGTTGTTTCTATCGTCGTCATTTACTTAGAATATTAGTTACAGTAAATAATTTTCTTAATAATCAAAAGCACAGTAGGCTGTCAGTGATAATAGATGTGTTCGCTGTCAGGTCGATTAAGTTCATAATAACTTTCCGTGACAACTGAATTGTGAAGTATTTGTTATTTTCATGACACGTTTCTTAGATCATAGGGAAGGAAAAAATAAAATACTACTGAAATATAGATAGGGTTTAAAAAATTAACTGAAAAAGTGAAACATTTTTGCTTCGATCAAATTATCATTAGTCAAATATTAAATATGCACATTAATTTCTTGATATAGCCTTAAAATTAGGAAGGATAAAAAGCGAGGATTTAATAGCTTGGTGTTTTCTTCTAGCTATCTTTTTTAAGACTTACAACATTGCTAGTATGGATCTACAAAGCATATGGTTATGCTAATTTACTTCCAATTTTTGTGCGTTTGTCACGATGAATTGTTTGTTACATTCTTTCAATTTGAATGGTGGTAGAAAGTTGAAAACGCCAAATCATAAGTTTGCTTTTATTTTAATACATCATCTTAACAGTAGCGTAGCATGAAGTAATTCAATGTTACTGATCTTACAATGATTACAATGTTGAATTTCATGGCTCTTCTCGGCATTGGCGAGACAGTATTCATCGATTAGCAATGATATCTTACAAGGAGCATGGATAAACAACTGGAGAACAATGCTGTTCTTTACATCCACAGGTGGATAGAATAGTGATTGCCTATAAACGTCTACCAGTTGATAACTTTACCAATAAGATGATTGTGGTAACAATAAGAACGATAACAGTAAAAGAAAACAGTAAATTTAAACTTGTTTGAATAACGCTTATATTATATATACTGTATATTTATATTTATAAAGTAAACTAGAAAGTAGTCAATTTTTCCCGTATAAATTGAGTCAGGCATGGGGCAACAAGCTTTATTCATACCAACAATAAATGCCGTGAAGGTCTTACTGACATTTTGAGATTTTAAACGCTTTCATAAATAGATTGTTATTAATATTATTAATGGCCTTCTAAACAAGGGTGTGACATATTTTTTTTTGTTGTTTAACGTTTTGTAAAAAGAAGGCCGATAGAAGAATCTTGTAATTCAGTTTTACCGCTATTGAATAGATTACACTAGAAGCAATTATGAATTGAATGTTCAAGAATAAAATTCCAATCGTTACATTCTGTAATTGATAATGAGGCGTCTGTTATTAAAAGTTGAATAGCAACAATTAAATAGGATAGTTAGTATACAAGAAGACGATGGCATGTAAGTACTTATTGTAGTCTCTATAAACGATACAAGAAAGAGATATCATCTTAGTTATGAAGAGGATTCAAATGACTCGTGTACCATTTTATGTCACTTTGCCAAGTCATTGATATTTGAATAAAACGATTTAGTGATAAATAATAAAGATTTGTAGGTGTTGTTGGAAATGAGAAGTGAACAATACAGGACAGACCCAGTGAATAATAAATAGATTGGTAAACCTGTTGCTCTGTAGGCGTTTAAATATTATTTTATCCTTCCAAAATTTGATACATTACATGAACTTGCACCAGTAGAAACAGTGACTGACAGAAATAACTTTGCGTAATTTCGCAAGCCTATAGTCAATGCAGCGTATTGACATGCTAAACGTTAGCATTATTCCACCTGAATTGTACTCGGACAATACGTGTATGTCCATGTTATAATTTTCATCCCCATATTAATGCTGAAACGCCGAGATTTACAACTTGTACACTACGGAATTGGCAAAGTAAAGCTGTCCGTATTTTTTTAGACGCGACAATAAATTTAGCCTATATCTTACTACAATAAAATTTTACTTCTCTATTATTTTTACTACCGCTTACATATAACCTAAGGAACCATGCAACACGCTACTTACGAACTTACCGATGGAACTTGTCCGATGTTATCTAACATTAAGTTCCATATGACAGAGATCACTCAGACTAGGATATTTGTTCTGTAAAATATCAATTCCAGTTAAGATTTTTAACAAACTAGATTCGATGAATTTACTTTTATCAGCAGTAACTCACTATAAAATCATGCAAGAAAAGTTATTTATTCTAGAGTTTTATTAGCAAGGGGAGCTACTGATATCCAACTTTTAGTAATAAAGAGCTTAAATATTCTTATTCCTCTCTTAGGGAGTTATATTATCATAGCAATTGCTTGCGAAGCGTTGATAATTAGTATGTTAGATTATTGACTAAAAGTCTAAGATATATTTTTTAGTTTGTTGATCAATACTAGTATTTAATCTCACTGGCGATACTTCGCGTGTATATACTACAGTATTACTATATTGTAAATTTTGAATATGGTACTAATTTTAGGTATGAGTACTATTATGCACTGTGTGAGTACGATACTTAACAGTATTTGACCCTTAAATTTTTAATTAATGAAACTTTTCGTTCGTGATATTTCATGTTAGTACAGTGTTTATTTTAATATTTCATTTATTCACTATGCAATTTGCCTACAAACTTGCTGTCATGATAGAGTTGAAAAAGTATATAACAATCCACATTGAAATTCTGTAAAATACCAAAACTATCCTAAAATACTAAGAATCAATCTTGACACCAAGCTTAAAATCTATGTAATATATGAAATGCATAAATTATCTGTATATTAAATTCTTAGAACTATAACATTCCGCCATCTAGGACTCTGAAACATAAGATTCAGTAAAATGACTAGAAAGCAAGATAGTGTATATTGAGGTAGTAAACAAATTGTACAAGATCAATTAAAATCATTAAACTTCAATAAAAAGCGAGATATAATATTGCCTAATCGCAGTAGTACAATATTATTTACGTGCATGTGTATACGAATACTGAAGTGATGCAAGTATGTAACAAATTCTTTTTACTCTCATAAGAATTATTAACATTATTTTTTGTATCTATAATTAACAAATATGTATTTAGATTTTAGTGATCATATATATTTATTTATTAAGCATCATACTTCAAGGAAAAACATTACCGTAAACATATCATACTATTACAGCTGCCCCAGTATAAAAGCGATCTACATATTTGTAAATGGACTATTCGCTATACGTCGCTGATTATCAAAATAGTGATAGAAAGTCATAGTAAAGTTAGGTTACAATACTGAATAGCTGACAATATTTTCACTTCTGATGTTTATATAGGGTGTATGATTAACTTAGCTATGGTTAATTTATCCACTTTTATGAAGGTTGGCTACCCGACATAGCCTACAATCCGATTCTTGGAGGATGAATTATACATTTATACGAATACTATACAGAATCTCATAGCTGGTTACTTTATTAACAGTCATATATGCAGTATTATGAAATGAGAAGCAGTGAATGAAATGTTTAGCATGTCATGGATGAGTTATTTGACTCTTTCTTCTTTAAATGAAGGTTATTTATATTAGTGTATAACAATATTTTGCTATTAATATCGAACGAATAACCAGTAATATTAATATGCTATATTGATAGTTGATACAGATGATATCTGTACCCTTGCTATACTTTTTAATCATTATTATTCAACACTAAAATAGTAAAATTGTTATTTTCTGATGTACAAAAGGTAATTGCCGCTATCAGCGATGATTAGTTGATAAATATCAACTTAGAATTTAAATGTATTCTAGTGTGATATGTAAATACAGATTCATAAATATTCATATGAGCATATCAATTATTCAGTTATTAATATTCATCACTGTTTTTAATCGATACGGGAAAAATATGTCTATAAACTAAACAGTTTATCATTTTAGTATGATATCTAGTTAATCATATGAGTAATTTGCAATCCAGTATCCGTATACTGGCCATAGCAATATATTAAATTTTCGGTAGCCTAGTTCGAACGTACACTATTACTAGTAAAACCAACAAATAAGAAGTAATTACTTTCCATGTCGTCATGAGCATCTGTAAAATTTCATACACTAGTTTGCTCTAGATACGCTTGAAATAGTTTGGTTGTAACTTATAAACTACAATCAGCTTTACATTACATTTCCACGTGCGTTCTACTTTACAGTTAGACTACTTCCTACACTCAACTACACTAGTATCTTGAAACATTAATTATGCTCTATATTACGATTATACATTTATAGCGTTTATTTCGGACATTTTAAAATAGGCGTTTTATTACATTGATTATACTCGAGGCTCTTTTGTATGCGTGCATACTCCAGAAGTAAAATGAATCATTACGATATAAAATATTGTCCTGGCTAATAATTTATGAATTACTGCTAATAGAGAGGCATCTTCTATATCACCTTAAGTAGAAATTATACTTATCCAATTAGTAAGCGTCTACATTAGCAGTAATGAGAAATTGAAAACGTATCATTAATAAATAAAAGTAAACAAAATCAATGTTAAACGAAAATAGAAAAATGGCATGGTTGAGATGAGTTATTTGCTTATTTTCTTAGAATTTATATTAGTAGGACAGAAACTTTAACAGCTAAAATATGTAGTATCAATTCCCTATCGATAATGAGAAAATTACAATTCGATTACTGTGTTGATTTGATATTCTTCCGCGTTATCGTGTCACAATATACATCAAGTAAAATCAATATGTTGTACTGTATAATTGCTGTTTCTTAAAATTTTGATTAATTATTTTAAACTCGTATTATATATTTAAAAAATTGCTATTGTATTTTTGAATGCTTGACTTTATGATTACTATTCTTCAAGTGATTGAAGGTACACGCCCTCAAGGACAAAAGTTATAGAAAAACTTTTCTATCAAGACAGGACTAACAAACGGTAGTTCAAGTACTATTGCAATGAATGCTATTGATCTTATTTATATATAGCGTTTATCGATCTAGTCAGTAAGAAATATATCAGCCAACATCGATGTTTCCGACACGATGGATTTAATAGCGCCCTCTTTACTAGACAATTAGTGGATCTATGCTAGTACTGGTCAACACTAATACTGATATTATAATCAGTCATAGAATAATACTAATGATATTATTCAATTTTTCAATCGATACAAATACTATGCAAAGCACACAAGTCGTCATATACCATGCGTTAATTGTTTGCTACAGTTTACCGTTGACTCCATGATAGTATAGCTAACAATGAAAAGCTATCGAGATGATAGAAGGCAATAGAAAAACGTAGTTACTTATTATAGACTTAATCTTGATGCAGTGATATTAAGTTAAAATGGAATAGAGATTAGATGCTAACGGTTTACTGCTAAGTTAAGACAGATTCAAGCTCAATATTCAATATTAACATAATTTTCTCACGTAAAAGCGATCTAATTAACCGCAAGAAAGTATATAATATAACTACTTTTACTTTAACATTGCACGTTATTCTATTAGCTAAAGTGTGTACTTTAAAAAGTAGAAGAGTAAATAAGTTAGTTATGTCGTCTTGTCAAGTCTTTTATCATGTAGCGATTACACAAATAAATTGAATGTTACAACGTCTGGAGTGCATCTGATGTACTTTCCAAATAGATTAAACATTCAAATTTCAAGAACAAGAGAAGAAGACTATTACCAGAGATTTGGATCGTCATGGAAGTTGATGATAAGACTAACTCTAACGATTCTATGATACTTTGTGATTGTCCTAGGAGCGATACGAGAAATGGTGATGTAGCTGAAACTAAACTTAATGGTGCCTGTGAAAAAGATACTATAAATGATCATCATTTTAATTTATCTACTGAATTCATCGATCCCAATAATATCTTTTTACTGGATGATAAAAGAGTTGATGAAATTGTGGAACAGGCGGTTAGTTTAAGAGACCGAATCGAAAATTGCGTTCGACAGCATTATTTAAGGAAATTAAATGAAATAATTGGTGTATACGATGAAGAAGAGAATAGTGATGTTAATGGTGCTACTGATAAAGAATTAAATGACGTCGATACTCAAGACCAGCGCGATATATCTATAGAACCAATTAAGCGAACTGAAACTATTAGTCGCATTTTTACCAATGATATGATGGAAGAAATACTGCAATTAGAAAGTGATTTACAAGGATACATTGAACGATCTAAAAGTTTTTCACGTAGTCCGCGTAGCCCACGTAAAGCTAGAAGATTGTCAAATAGTAATCAACCATCATCGCCGTTGTTCGCAAATGGTATATTACAAGAACAAGATTTAGAAAATGGCGATAATGAATAGCGTTATTTTAAACTCATCTCTTCTTCATTCTAACTTTATAAATAGATTATATACTTGAGATGACTATTGTATGTATGAAAACAAAATGGACTTCTAGACTTAATTTAGAATTTGTCTCTGCTGGATGTCAAGGTGGCCAGTACAAATTATAATCTAGATAATTTATGTATGCCATGATTATACTTTAGAACGTTATACTGGTCATTATATCTAGTTTACTACATACGTAGCATATCTGAAAAATGCATTCTCCCGTTGTTTACTTAATCTTCGCCATTCGTATTACACTTTACAGATTCCGTGGTATCTAGTCAATAGTTCATTTTACAATCTTGTACCTTAAGCTCTAGTATAATCTATGTTTCACTTTTTTTATTTAACAAAGAAATCCAACATTTATTTTACTAAATTTTGACTGAATAGCATCCACTAAAAGTGCTTGTCTATTCCGATTTGAATAGTGCGTTCCTCAAAATCTGAAATTTAATGTGAACTTACATTATTCCTCTTTAATTGCTATCATGATGTACGTACTACTATTGACTTAATAATCAATTATGAAAATGGGTATCAATATTCTATTGATAAATTTTACAAATTAGCAACGTCTTCCGTCACTTTTAATGTAAATTTATGATTGACAGGCAATTTGATATGTAATATTTTACGCAAATAACTTTATAGTAGTGATACAAATTGGTTACTCTTTGAAGATTTACGTATTCATCAACTGAATTATGATAGGGATATTCGAAGATACAGTCGTCTGCGTTGCATTTTGTGCAACGCATAAGTTTATGAGAATAAAATTTTTGGCTATTACTATAATACTTGCTAATCAAGAATTACTTCTTAAACAGTATTAATACTGCGGTATTACATGGATAAACGCGAGTATTTTACTACAAACTTGTACGCCTTTTTAGATGCAGTTCTGTTATAAGCTTAAATATAACTGGCTACCTATCGGTAAGAACCGTAATTTTACAAGAGAATAAATCGAGTCTCTCATTAATTAATTCTATAGTAATTTGAAATTTTCACTATTGGTCGTATCTTAGTATTTATTTTCCGTACAGATGCAGCGTAAACATAGCTGCTTTTAAACAATAATATCAGGTTTAGAAGCACAATTCACAGTTTCGTTACTCAGTGAAATTTAATGTATAAAAATACAGATGATATTTCTTCAACATTCGCGTAAAAATAATGCATCTGCTGAAGGATGAAAATATCTACACTACAAACTAGCTCATTTCCCACTTAATTGAGAGAAGTTTTATGCTTAGTGGTAAAATATAAAATTGTATTATTTTCCAAAATTTATACAGTGTACTCTTTGAGATAAAAGACCAAAAAGACCTATTACTCTAGAGTAAAATGTTGTACTAATCGTTGGTTAAAGTACAATAAAGTAATCTGTTAGACTTCTAAACCTATAGATCCATTAGCGTTTTGAAGCGAGTTATTTGATTGGCAATAAGTTACTACAATACAAATACGTATGTCAGACTGAATATATATATGCTGTATATATTAACTTCATTGCTATCAATTTCAATATTTCCTGAAACAAAGAGCTTTAAGATTTGAGCACCAACATCAAAACCAATGTCGTAATTGATTTGACATAGTATCTAACCACGCCCTGCATACAAATCAAAGTTACTAGCTTATTAAATTAATGGTAGCCAGTTAATGAACATTAAATATTAATAATGTCGAATATGCGTATGATAGTAATCAAGTTGTTAAATTCCACGTAGCATAGTAGGAACTCCAAATGTAACATTAATGATTAATCAAAGTAGTCTTCGATATCTATTGATGGATCCAACAATGATTCTCCGAAGCGAGATAAATCCATCTGATTTAGAATAAGGTTTTCAAAGGTCTCCTACAAAATGTTCATAGTTAGATAACAACACCAAGCACAAGGCTTTAAATATATCATGGAAAGCGTACATGAAACGTCCATGTTTCTCTGCAATATAGTTATAGCAAAAATATAGAATCTTACTTCCAGATCAGTCTCTCCAATAATTATTGCTCCATACATTCGTCCTTTATGTAGAATAACTTTGATAAATTCCATATCTGGTTCGATAGAGGGTAGCAGTTACGAACTATGGTTTAAACGCAGCTAAGCTTAAGAAAGTTTAATGTTTTACTAGAAACAATTTGTAACCTTTGGTGCATCGAAGTAATATTTCGTAGTCTTTACCCAATTTTTGCGCATTGTACTGGCCTAGTAAGACTACCTAATAGAGATATGTGACCAGATATATTTAATTTCCAAGTAGACCTGGCCGTAAAATAAAGTCTAGAATTTTCTTACCAATTGATTTGTAACTTTACCTTATAATCGAAGAATTTCGTAACGTGGGCAAACAATTCAAAGCAAAAGTCCATAGATATAGAATCATTTTCTAACAAAATCATTGGAAAGTTACAATAGTGGAAAGTAGATATAACCGACAATACCACGCATATCTAACCAGTATCAGCAACCATACATTTCGCAGCATAACTGCCCATTTGACGAGCTTGAGTCCATAACCTCATCTATTAATAGTGTCAATTATAGGTATATCCGTAATAAGTAACATTAAGATCATCCTTTGCCTCAATTACAATTGAACACACTGATTAACCTGGAACCAATGTGGCGCGTGATCCCAACCTGCACAGCATACATCACCAGCTGCATAAATGTTAGCTACCCTAGTTTTCATGTGATCATCGACAACAATTCCTCCATCTTTTCCTATTTGAAACTGAATTATAGACATAAGAGTTCAGAAATACTAGCGAAGGAAACCCATGAGAGACTAATTATAATAAATTATTAATTTGTTAATTAATCTCATGCTATCATCAACTCATTACTGTTTCGGTGTTTAACATACGGTTGGATCATTTTTCACCAAGTCTATATTTGGTGTTACACCAGTGGCAGAAATAACGAAATCACATCCATATAACTTACCATTAGTAAGCTTTACATAAATCGGCCATACTTCTATAGGATAAAGTTATAAATAGTTAGTGTAAAATAGATTTGTGTAAAGCCAGGGAATCATTACAAACTTGCGATAATAACATGGCAGCACTGTGCTACACCTAATTAGTTAATTAGCTTACCGTTTGAACTTGAAGAAGAAACTTTTTCGTCAGTGTTATTACTGTCAAGACTGAGAAGATTTCTATATTCAGAATAACTAAGAATGCTAGCCACCTCACAATTGTACTCAACTTGTACTTGGTTGCCGACTTTTGGCTAAGAGGGCGCAAGTGTGCCAATCAAATAAGTTTGATTATGTGAGTTTATATGATAAAATATGCTGTGCATATCAGTTCACGAGAATTTACGAAACAATCACTATACCCTACGTACTTGTGATTCCGATAATCCACCAGAGATTTTCAGATTTCTGCTCCAGTCAGGTCCTAAAGCGCTTCCGAAATTATTCTTAGCTAGATCACTATCAGAGGTATCGTCTGCGAATATGACAATAATTATAATACAGTTAGATAGCTCTTATACCGATTATGAGTATGGATGAAATATCAATTGATTGTTAGTACCGTCAAGTGTAAATTTCATCCTTTTGCTCAAAGTATTGTCTGGTTCTTCATCACCAGGGGTAAATAGTTTGGGCAGTAGAAACTGACCAGCGCCAACGTCGAAAAATGTAGAGCTAATAGAGTCATCTTTGATAGTCCAAATAATTCGGCAATTGGTAATTTCATGTCTGTGGATTAACAATGACAAAGAAATATACATACATGAGGATTAGTATTGTCCAAAATCATATAAAGTAAAATAGCAAAGATAAGAATAAAAATTTAGTGTCCGATATATTTCATAACACATAAACGCCATCATACATGCTTACACGAGCTCGGTAGCAATTCCACCGTTGCCGACAATCATAACGCGCTTAGAATTAGCTAACAAATTCTGAAAGTGTGTTACACTTTCAGTATCCCTGATACCAATCACCCTATCACTTTTAGAGTCAATAATCTTTGGGGATGCACCAGAACAAATGCACAACTTATCGTATTGAAAGATTTCACCATCTTCTGTAGTAAGAGTCTGTTATAAAATGTATCCAGGATAAATTATGAAAATATATTCAATCAGAAGATATTTTGATGAGCGATTTTATTTTACTGATGATATGTGCAGTCTGAGGTGCACATATTGGAATCTCTATTCTACTCTCTTCACGATTATGAAGCGCAGGAAAGCATGTTTACGCTAGTTTCCTTGTTCACTAACATGTTTCGATGAATCCAAGTTCTTGGCTGTCTTGTGGAATACGGCAATATTTGAGTATTGATTATTCAAAGTTGATAAAGGTCGTTCTTCTACTGTGAATTTTTCGAGAGATCGAGCGTACTATACATTGCAGAAACAAGATCGTAGATGTTAGTTATCATGATGGTTACCATGGTGGTATTATCAGATATTCCTTGATAAACTAGAGATATAATTCATCTATTGTATGCAGAGACAGAATGCGGTCAAAGGCAAGTTATATTACTGTTATACCTGTTGAAAGTTTGTTACTGCTTTAATAAGTGGTGATGAGGAAATGAGAGAAATTTGGCAATCGCTACGTAAAGCTGATAGCTGTTCTGCACAAGTTACACCAGCAATTCCTCCACCAATAACTAAAAATTTGACCATATCTCTACCTTAATAAGAGGATAATCATCTTAGCTAGAGGTTTAAACTATCAGCTATCTCTTATCTAATCGTTTAGAAGAGCATTGATTAGTACGCGAGCAAAGCTTTAGCTAGCGATGGAAAAAGTTGTAAACTTACATGCATCTAGAATCGATCTTGTTAATTGATGCAAATCCGCAGTTGCGCTGTTTACACACAGTGCAGCCCACAGTACAGTACAGTATCGTTCAGCCAAACCGGGCCGGGTCGAGCCGAACCGGGCCTGCAATACTGTTGGTGTACTGTACCGACTGTACAGTGTACAGTGTACAGTGCAGTACAGTTTACTGTACTGTACTGTAGTAAAATCGAGGTGTCTTTTTACTGTACTGTACTGTACTGTACTACTTCATTTGTATCAGGGACTGGAAGTCCCTTACTCCTATACTGTATACTGTGCTGTACAATCTTCTTCGACTTTTTACTTCACCAGTGCTACTACCATAGGCTACCAGATATTAGACTTCAAACTTTATTGCTTTACTTTACAGTCAGTATGGACTACAAGATATGCATTTAGTAGTCCTTACAACTTATTACTTTGCTGTACACTGTACAGAGTACAGCATAGATCACTAGACTCTGACCAGAGGCTTCCTTTGGTCATTGGTACTAAATACTGTATTGGTATTACTGACTTCACACAGCCGCATTCCAGATTCAATGCGCATGCCTAGGTCGCTATGGAAACGTATACAAATAGTTGAAATAATACGATCATAATTAATACATACCTTATAAGAATATATATAGTTGATACTGATTGAGGCCTGATCATATACAACTGTAATACTATCATAGAAGCTAATAAAGAAATTGATGCAAATTTGAGGTATAGATTTATTTATGGTAAGCAAAATGATCAACTCACTTGCGGTTAAAAGCGACGATGAAAAGGAACATCCCACCATGTTCGGCATTATCGAAGAAAAAAATGTTGTTTTCGTATTAGATACATCAGGATCAATGTATTCTTACATCAACTCTATCAAAGAGCATCTTATAGAAGCATTGCGAATCCTGAGTTCAACTGATTGTCTCTTCAATATTATCGAATTTTCCGCTGATATTAACAAGTTTGCTGAATGGTTAATACCCTGCAATCAGAAATCATGGGATGTAGCCAAGGCGTGGATAACAGCTATAACATGTAAGACCACTACTAATACTTTAGAAGCTGTTAAAGCAGCCTTTGAAGATGATCGTACACAAGCTGTATATTTAGTATCGGATGGATCACCAAATCAAGGCTCAGATGAAGTAATAGAAGCAGTTAAAAAGATGAAAAATAAAAAACCAATTCACGCATTTTACTTACCTTCAAAAACACATAATAAGAAAAGCGACATGGAAAAAGCATCAGAATTTTTATCTAAATTATCTCGTGCTACCAAAGGCTCTTTTCGTATTGTAATATTTGGCGATGATAACCACATCAAATCTATTAAGACTGTCTATGCTGCACAGGCGTCAAGGGAAGATCAATCTACCATTAGGCATATTAAAAGAGATAAAAATACTGTTCATCCAATATGCATATTATCGGTAAATATTCCTATATGTATTGATAAGAATTCCTTCGGTTTTTAATTCGTAACTACACGTATAATTTCTAATTTCTATTCAATGATTTTATTACAGAACCAAAAGCACCAGTCTCGCCTAATAAACCTGTTAAAACGTCACTAAAGTTACGAAGATCAAAGTTGATTATGGAAATGGAAAAACAAGGTAGTGATATTAATCAAGATAAAGCTTACTTGGCTTCACATGGTGTTCCACAGCTAATTAGCTCAAATACAGCTTCAAACGTCCCGTCCTCGAATATTTCAACACTTTTGCAATCACAAGAGGTTGCTAATTCATACACTGTCAATAGTGACTCTGTTACTCCTGGATTGCATTCAAATAATGCTTCTCAGCCAAATTCCAGTTCTAAAACAAGAGAAACCATTAGGGAAGATTCAAACATCGACGGCATAATAACCTCTGTTCGTCTGCAACCGGAAAATTTGAGTACGATAGCTGGAACGATTTTACTAAACAAGAAAATTTTGTGCCGTTCATATGCAGATGGACATTATTACTTGGGAACTGTTAAGAAGCAGGTAAGTTAAATGGACTATTGAAGCTTACGATGTAATTCCTGCACATTTTGTGATCACGCCATTTACATATTGTGAATGTTGGTTCTTTCTAATAGGTAAGCCAAGGACAGTTTTTGATTGACTTAATCTTACCCAAGAAGAAGAAATTAAAAAGCGAGCAGGAAACTAATATAAATGACATTATCGCTTTAAATGATGCTTGGCGGCACCCCATCAAATTGGGTGATAAAGTTCTTGCACCTAGAAAACTCGGAAAGTACGAGTACGCTCCAGCTGTTGTCTTAGAGGGCAACGATCCTAGAATTCTTACTGGTGAGGCATACTACTATATACTGTGCTTAAAGTTTCTTTTAAATCATTTAACGAAAAAATTCATACTATAAATGAACATACATCTTAAATAGTTCTACAGTTCATTTCCTAGTAATACTCATCGAACTTTGAATATTTCCTATCCCTAGGTAAAATGTCCAAATCTATCGAACCAATGATAGTCGTGTTTTCGAGTGGTCTAACAAAGACTATTGATTCTAATTCAGCCGTTTGGATATCAAATGCTTTATACGAACAATTATCAATGGATCAATTGGTTCCAAATCATTTACGTGGAGAAATGAATAAAATTATTGCGGATTCAACGGACTCAAATATTGCCATGCAAAGGCCCGCTGACTTTGCTCCATGCAATACCTATAAATCGTTATATAAAGATACTTATGAATTGATGAGACCTAGCACTTCTCATGAAATCTATAGTAAAAGACCTTTTCCTCCACCAGGATCACAAAGTTTCCCTGACATGACATCCACTACGTATTACGGTAGATCACAATCAACTACTCCTACAAATCATTTTAATATGAATTCCTATGCACAAGATTTGTCTCCTCCATCACGAGATCTTCCTTATCATCAACTGACTTCTCGGATTGACGAACAAATTCAGACTATCGAGCGCTATCTAAATGCGTTAGATCCTACGGGAAGACGTGAAACTAATTATTATAGTAGTGAAGAAGAAGATGATTTGATTAGTTCTGACCCTGATATATTGGAAACAATGTATGATGAATTAGGACTGAATGATGATGAGGAAGTTATACGTACTACGTCAACGTACTGCAAAACAAAACAGAAAAGCAAGACCAAGACTCAACGTCCTCCTTGGAGGTCTTGGTATGCCGCACCTTCTGGCACGGGACCTACTGAACGATATCAGCCCAAATTATTAAAGGAACCTCGAGTTAACATTCCACAGCCTAAAAGTAGAGGTAATTTTTTGGATCACATACGAATGGTAAATCCGGATTATCCAAACTGGTGGAAATATCAGCAAAAAGAAATACAACAACAGCGTATAAAATACGAAGCGCCTACATTAGAAGACGGATTAACTAACTTAAAGCACCAAAGGTATCTTAAAAAAGAAGCGCAAAAGGTAGAGACTAAAAGGCTGCAGCATGAACGACAGGTGCAGAAGGAAGTTGAACGTGAGCAAACACAACGAGCAGCGGATGAACTCAGAAGAAAACATAAATTAGAGAAGATGGCCGGCTTTGAGCAATTCGATAAACAACGTAAAAAATATTATGAAGAAATGAAAAATCGACTGATAGACCGCCGACGAAAAAATTACAATAAAATAAGAGATTTGGACGATTCGCGCACATTACAAAAGAAAGAAAAAGAAGCCAAAAGATTGGAATATTTAAAACAGCAACGAAATCAGAGAGAACAATTGCAAATACAACAGGAAAATGAAAAAGTTCAAAGAGTTCAGGCTATTGAGGTAGGTTAACACAGATTTCCTTTTACATTATGGATGAAAGATTAAAACTCCCGGTTACTCATTTATCTTTTAAGCATTTTAAAAAATCCTATTTAAAGTATGTAAACTAAGTAACAACATTAAAATGTATGACATTAACTGGAAATATCTGTCTATCCCTACCTATAGGAAAATCGACTAAGGAGGCAATATCAACGTGAAAAGATTGCAGATGAACGGTATATTCAAGCAAAAGAACTGGAATATCATAAAGCTTCAGCTAAACTGAATGCTGAAGTTAGCCGAAGAAAGGAACTTATAGTGAATCGTTTAGCTGATGAGGAACGTCGACGACAGAGATTTGATGTTAAACGAGAGAAAGCAATAAAAATTAAACTAGAACTTGGTTATTAAATGAATACTTGCTTGCGGTATAATCGAAAGCATTTTAATTGTATCATAAATTGAGCCTACATTACGAAGATATGCTCGTATGTATTGAAGTGGAGTCAATATCTGGACCAAATAGAATATACGCCGTTGGTCATCTACCTAATCTGCGTTCTACGATTTTATACCAATATTAGATTATCTCAGAAATGAGGGCTATCCACGTCGTTATCAACAAACTGAAACGTTTGCATTGTGTAGATAGGATAATTTTGTCAATATTCCAACAAGATCAAGTTCAGTTTTATAATTTTCATTTTTATCACAAGTATGCTGATTCATAAGTAATTGTTACTATTAAATTTTCTTGAATATATTAAATCGCCCTAGATGAATTGTTGTAAATATGATGCTTTCCGGGCATGATAGCATGAGCGGATATTATATTAACCTATACAATATAATTCTTCCATTCTGTATGGTATAAAGTTATCAAGCCACGATGTTGATATAGCAGTTATTTATTGAAGTGACTGTAACATCTTATAGCCTTTGTGTGACTGATAAGCTATGAATTCTACATCAATATTCTTTAATCATCGTATCATATGAGATAATCAGGCTGTCAATCAATTTTCTGCCAAATTTACCTGGATTCTATTTGACTAATATAATATTTAAGTTACCAGAAATGTAAGCGTATATATATATATATAGTATGCATTTACGAGTGTAATAATAATAATAAAAATAGATGAAAATTATGTTATAATATGGCATCTTTTTTGTCTTTTCGATTCTGGTTTTAATATGTTACAAAGTAATCGTATATCATATAGTTTTATCAAATAGCATATTTCTTTCGATAAACATTGCAAACATAAGTTAAAATCTTATTATAAGTTACCATGAACTCACAAATACTTCGTTCGAATGAATGCAATAGTGTTTATTTTGGTATTTTAGTGATTCACTAAATATCTCACTATAATAAAATGAGGGAATTATCGTTTCATTAGGTTACAGAACTAAAGTGCATATTAAGCCAATGTATGATGTTAATTTAACGTTGATATACAGTTTTACATTTTCAAGGAAGGTAATGAAGGATTCAATACTGTTCCGTGAACCTATCCACTCTGCTTTCATTGATGGCAAAGCAAATGTTGTATATTACAGTGTAATTGTACGAAAAAGTACAGCGACTTTATCATATTCTTAGTAAATAAATTTAATATGGTAATCATTACCGGTATCAAAATTTCTTTGGACAGTTTCAAGGAATTTTCTGATTTAAGATAATATTAAATTTTATCGCACTAATACTCTCTCTATACAGTATGTTGCAAAGTGCAGTAACATACTGTATATTGACGGTATCTATTTATTCTGTGTTATAAATATACATTATTGCATAGTTGAAAGAAGAATGATGTGTTCATTCTAATGTTAGGCATTTACTGAACACCAAAAAAGGTAATAATCTTTATATTTATATTGCTGGACTGTGTCACAAAACACTACTCCTTCGATAAACTGTTATTCAATGACCGTATTTCATCTCGTTCCAATATACATAAAATGAAGACGTTATTACAGTATTCGATTTTTAAATCAATATAGGACATCAATTGGTTAGCCTAATCGCCAAGTCAGCAATCGTGAGCAATGAAACTTGCTTAAAAAAAAAATTGTTGACTAAATCAAACAGCGAACGTCAAATCTACACTTTGTCCAGGTTCAACGTGGACAACGTGAGTATGATCTTTTTCACCTCCCCATCTTCCTGCAGTAACGGCATATGTTCCTGGGGGCACATCGACACGAACGTTTTCATCAGTTGCAACTGCTCAAAAAATTAAGACCACCGTTGTATAATATTTTATTTAGCAAAGAGTAACGTTATAAACTACGGTTTACTTGAGCCCAGCCCGTTATACTTCAAGTCGACTGCAGGGCATGTCTCCCATTTTCTATTATATGTATTCAATTCCTCTTAAATTATGATCCTTGATTACAGAGGTTAGTACAGTATAAGGTATAGGCTTACTTCTCTCTCCATGATTTCCTGCGAAGACCATCAGAAATCTGATATCAGACTAGAATTGATTAGTCCCTAATTTTACCCTCCGACAGTTTACTGTACTGTACTCTGTACATACTACGTACTGTAGTGTGACGAACTATAGTACTGTATACAGTAGTGCTAGAAATACTACAGTAATAGTATTGCTGTAGACTGCAAGCCTGTAGTACGGTGGCCCAGATGGAAAGCTTAGTGACATAGCCTATCAACTATTTCATTAAAGCTAGTAAAAACCGTCATCGAGTATAAATAGCCGGGAGTTTGAAGTGGGTTGGCGGATGGGCGGATCAGTGGATAGTCCATTTTCCTGTTTTTATGATCCGTACGATTTACAGTACTGTACTGTATAGTGCACTGTAGCAGGGATTACTAAGGATAAAATTCATAACCCTAAGAGTTTTAGAGTTAGGGTTAGGAATTTTATCTTTATTCGCCCCTGACAGTATGCTTTTAAAATTGCACAAGTGAGTAATGGAGTGAAAAACAAGAAAAGGCTATCGTCTAGCGATGTTTCAGATTGTGTCGGAGTCCGTCCGTCTCTTACAGTACAATAGAATTATTGTTTTGTGTATTACACTTGTACAGTACTACGAGTCTACGACGGCCCTCGACTACCGTGAATTACAGTACAGAATACTGTAGACTACTGTACAGTACAGAGAGAGTGTACAGTATAGTAGGCATACGGTAGCCTGTAGTGTGCTGTACTGTAATGGCACCTGGTCAACCTGGTTTACAGTACAGTACTGTACACTCTGAGTTGAGTACTGTACAGGACGTAAATTTTTTTCCCGCCATTCTTTCATCTGGGCTTTTTTCACACTGTGAATGTAGTCCATTGAGTACTACTGTCATTTCGCGCGTAAAAATTTACTAATACTCAATGCAGTAACACTGTACTAATACCCTACCGTAATGAGGAGACGACGAAAGCAGAAACAGTGAAATAAACGATCACTAGGTCTGTTCATCGCTATCATTCCGTGCTCGATCGTTTCTTGGCTTCATGAAAGTGTACTGTACTGCATGCATGACAAAAGCTTTCTGCAGACTACGGTGACCTTTTTACTTTGACGTCTTGCTGGGTTTATAGTCTGTACTATCCTTTCCTTCCATAGGGTAAAATAAATAAAGGATAACAAAAATATTGTCAGTCCCTTCGCTGATCACATGGACATCGTACCATTGATTTATGCCAGTACAGTACACCTGATAGTACGGCGCCGTTACGCCGGTATCACGCTGAGGAATATTGCAGTACTGTAGAGTACTTGTACTGTACTATACAACTGTACTGTACTGTACAGTACTGAAAAGGGCAGTCTTCTACAGTGCACGATGACCTTGCTGATAAACTCCTCTGATATTGCCATACTGTACACTGTAGTGTATAGTACAGTATGGGATACGCATCGCTGCTACAGTACACACTGTACAGTGTACAGTGGAGTGTACAGTAGTGCACGCCCGTCAGACGCTACAAGTTGCAGACAACTTGCAGTGTATTGTACTGTACAGGAAATTCCTTGCGACGTCAGTGCAACGTTTTCAATGTGGAAGGAGGATCGTCGAAAAACGTAGTAAGCAAAATTGATTTCTTTGAATACATGCTCAAGAAGATGAAATAATAGTAGAATCTACAGCTTGCCAAGGATCAAGACATTTTCAATTTCTAATTTCAAAGACCACTACGAAATTGTCGCGGCCAGAGGCGAAAAAAGGTAGGATAGTGAAATGGACGCACCAAAAATGATTGTTTACGATATTTTCTACGATAACTTGATTTGGAGGACGCCATGTTGTACAGTACAGAATATTATGTTGCATAGTTGCATGCGTTTGTTGTTGAGTAAGTAACTACAGTATAGTACTGTTCACTGTCCATGCCTTGTAGTACGCTGCACTGTAAAAAGTGGACGCCAGCAATGATGCATTTTATTTTCTATTTATTTTTACTGTACTGTACAGTATGTACCGGTACGGTGCGCGTTACCAACCCATTTTCCTATTCAGTACTGTAGCTTATTAGACTACTAGAGCCACCTGTACAGTGTACAGTGGACAGTAGTCGATCAATGTCGGTAGGCGTAATATTACTTACATTCTACACAAGATCTATTGATATGTAAAAATCAAATCAAAAGCGATCAGTATTGACTGTGAATGACAGTCGAAAAAGTGCTGGTGTTGACGGCACTGGTGCTAATAAACAACTTGCCTGACAATCACTCGGTACTCTTTAGACGCTAATGGTGGTTCCTGGTCGACATTGAAGCTGTATAGTGATACTAGTAGACGATACAAGTATTCACGCTTGATTGATTCAATACGATAATCGATGCGTGTGGACTACAGATATTCAAGCTAATTAGAGAGTATCAACAGCATTTGCAAAGTAAAAATTCAATGCGTACGGTATCAGCCGTTCGATCTGCTGCTGTTCTACTGTATCTTTCTTTTTAAAGTTGCGGACATGAAAGTACAATGTCACTACTGTACTGTGCCTACCACGTACGTTTCTCTTTCAATACAATTGCTCAACTTGAGTCTAACAAATGCGCATACAATACTGGACTGTGCAACTGATATAAATAGAGTTTATTGGATGACATGTTTAGACTTGTGATTACATGATCAGTCCTGTCCTCGACTTGTCAGCAACCTGATCATTGCTGTATCTAATAATGTAGCATCAAAACAAGCACCAATACTATTTGACGCAAGATGTCAATGACTTTTTATTGACTTACTTAACTACTAAACTACAGTTATAACGATTGACTGACCCCAATTTGAGTAGACACATTCAATTCTGTTTAGTTGTATGAGTACGATAAGGAGCAAAATCCTTTTAGGCTAAAGTAATTACTGAAATATGTGTAGAGCAATGTACAGTATTAATCAGTGTCGATTTCTGGGCAATCAATAGTATTTCGTTTTGTAACGTTACTTGCTTCAAGTAAATTAACGAGACGGCTTTTTTGGAGGTATTTTCTGCGATTATCCTAACTTTACTCGTGTGCCAAGGTACCAAATTGCTTCATTCTATCCTACTGCTATTACGGTATGCGCCGGATTGAAAGGCATAGTTCTCATTAGTAGTCTATAAAAGCTATTATTTTAAGCTGGTGGCATTCGCGTCAAGTACGTATTTTCATTATTTTCCAAATATTGATGATAATAATAATTTATATAACAATAATATGTCTTCAAGTTAGTAATCCTACTGTACAGTATTTTCGTACAATACGGCAATGACAACTTTGTAAACCTTGATTGAAATTACTTTATGGTGTGCTAGCTTCAGTCAGTGAGTTCAATTCGTCCCATTGGGAGACTAACTGCTAGGTATAATGTCAGTCCATGCGCCATTTAGAGATTCGCTACTGTGCTAATGGAATTTACTAGCTGTAATAATGTACCATGTAATATGCAATAATGTGAAATGAAAGCCTTGACTAAGCCGCAAATGTCGCAAACTATCCTTGTCGATGTTGAAATTCAGAGTTACATAACATGTTATCCCATTTGTACTTCGTCATCTCTGTGTTAAACTAGATAAAACATTCACTTTCCGACTAAGAACCGACAGTGTCCACTTTGCAGTTAAGATCTTCTGAAGCAATTTGTTCTGATGGTGAAAAGAGTAGACGCGTACATCATTGTACAATACTACAAATATTGGTGGATACATACACATACAGTAGTACTGTATTGTACATTGCAGAATGCATATTACGAATGTAGCCATTCTAATGAGAAAAGTGGAATATGGTGGTACTTATCTTTTACTGTACTGTACATCTAAAATAAGAAAACTTTCTGCTAGCTGTAAAAATTTGTTTATTAAAGATAAAAAATTCTCCGTACGATAGATAATACGCGATATGATTAATCATTTCTATTGTTAGCCTTTTGTTTTGATCAACCTACCGTATGTTCTGTCTATCCATCTATCAGTGATTGATTGAATGTTTTTATGTTGTGGTGTGTCAAAAGTTGTAGTCCACTACACTAGTTCAGCATCACCCGATCTGCCATGTATAATACACTATACTACGTGGCTACTGCCAACAATACGTATTTATATTTATTTACTTATTGTAGACATATTCGATCGATCAGCACTGTAGTGCAGCTTTGTCTTATTATTTTTTGGGGGGGGGGGATTAATTTTTACTAGTTCTACTTATGAACGTTGATGTAGATCAGATTGCCACCCTATCGATAGTCCATTTTCGGATCAATTTTTGATGTAATTGGAGTGTACAATTTGAATAGAAAGGTTTGTACGGAGATGGATACCACCAAATAGAGACGACTTTGGATGTTACTTATGCTATTTTGTTGATGTTATCATTGCAGTTTATATCCTTCTGTAACCTATATTCAACCTTGACATCACAGTCTGTATTTTATTGTTGTGTAATCCCTAGTTGAAATTGCATTTCTGTCAATGTCAAACGTTAAAATTTAATTGAACTGACAACTACAAAGATAGTAGGCAATACGGAATAACACATGGAATTGTTGATAATAGTATTTGGGTTATAAAATTGATAACGACATTGAAGAATTTTTGATTAATTCCGATTTCTTTTTCATTTCATAATCTCCTGTGATGTGAAAAAATATTTCACTCACTGCTCTGCTAATATGAAACAAGTTTATACTTGCAATTTGTAACCCAATTACTCGACAATATGCATTAGTAATGGAAAGACAAATATCTGATTGTTTTATGTTGATATGCAAAGTAGACGTGGCGTCTTTATTCATATTATCAACAATACTGCTATAATTGGTTTCTACAACGTTAAATTCTAGTACATAATACACAATAGGCGTCTTTCATTAACACTAAAGTAACTTATTGTACACACTCCTAGCCTTTTGCCATAGTACATAAGTGTTAATTTAACCACAATAAGACAGTCTTAATCTCTACCTTTTAATAACAATTTTTTTTTTCTTTAATCTGTTTAATGCGGATGTCCAGCCGTGGAAGAACTCAACAACAGCGCATTCTCTTAATTGCCATTACTTTGCAGCGAATCTCAATCTTAGTCATCAATTGAATTAGGAAGACAACACAGCTAAGAAAAACACTAAAAATCGGTTCATCTCTTCAACTAGAAAGCAATGCAACAGCAACGTACCGGTAATAATCGCGCCCGGCGTTGTTTGTTTGGTTCTTGCGATACAGTCGAATTAAGGGAAGAGACGGAAAAAGCTCTTCGTGAGATCCGTGCTGAGAAAAGTCAGAAATGGAATTTCGACTTTGAAAGGTTTACTCCCTTACCTGGGCCCTACCAATGGAAATTGATCGATTCGACCGCTACTAGGTATGTCGCGCAAAAAGTCGACGATGATGGTAGTACCGTTACTTGTAATCAGCTAACGCCATCCAAAAATATTTCTGACGCCAACGGCATTCCTCACAATAAGGAAAGGACAAATCAAATTCTTGACGAAAGTTGTATGATCGACACTAATGGGAATGACAAAAATAACTACGATAACTTTCGGAACAATTCTATCCCAAAGCCGTCAACCAGTAATACCGGTAGACATCAAACAATTATATCTGAGCAAAGTGAAATTAAGCTTGATAACTATTCAAGCAATGGAAGTAGTTGTCATGGATTACCCCCAAAGAAAGGAGTTTATTACCGCCGCAGTGAGCGAAATAAACCGGGCTATAAATCTAAAATGGTGTTTACAAGTGTTATGACTGGTAAGTTCCTACAGCATTGCATATAGAAACAATCTTGATGCTGTAAAAAATTATGATAATCATTTTATGTACACTACGTGAGATAGTAGGAAATAGGATTATTAGAATAGGAAATATGTAAATTTACCCCATTCATACCTTTCAAGTTACGGATATTGACGTTTTATTTGATTGCCTACGTATGGATATTATTTTTTTTTTAACTTTCCTCTTCAATAAGCAAGTTAATATCTAATAATGTAATTTGTACACTCTATGGCATTTCTATAAATCTTAAATTTTGTAGTACAATATTCGATATTGTATAAAAATAGCAGTTCAATTTTACAAAATGCTAATGTTCTTAGGAGTCTTGCTTGACCAATCGATCCGTTAGATGCGATCGGCTAGTACAATATTCCTACATCTAGCTTTTTTGTTGAAAAGACTTCTAAATCGCCCGAAGTACGTATTATCATTTTAAACGAGTAGTAGGTACTACTATTGTCTACTCCTTAGTATCCCCTTAGGGCCTAATTCTACTGTATTGTTGACTTGTTAACGGCTTTAAAAATGATCGCTAATCGACGATTATGTGACTATCGTTAATAATGTTATCCCATTCGTAATTGTGATAGTTTTGAAATATGGGTACAAAGCTAGCAGACATTAGTTGACGCCATGACATGTATTCATAGTACCCTATACTGCTGTGTACATGACGCATTTTCAAAACAGCACAAAGCGTCTTGCTGCAGTAAAACTCCTACTTTATGCTTTGCCTATCCATACAGCCATAGCGAATTAGTGGTAGGGACTACTCGAAAAAGTGAAGTAGTCCCTGTTAGTAGCCATGATATTATTAACCATAGTTGTCATTATACTGTATTATTAATTAATTATATTAATTTATCCTTTGAAGCCTTTATGATTTCAGTAATTGATTACATAGACGTACATTATGCTTTGATTTACCATGTATACAGAATCAATGTTAATTCGTATTATTTTAACCTTACGTAACGCCTTTAGTAATAATTTCATTCGTTACTAGCAGAATCCTGTAGTGCTGGAACAGTAGAGTACTTAAAGTACTCTACCCACAGTACAGTGCTTTTACTACTTCACAATCTACATCGGAAGTGAACAACCTAGAAAAACTAGCTGCTGTTTTAATTTTTACTCCGGCACCGTACTTATTGCGTTATTCCTTAGTCCTACTGTAGATCAAAATTGCGGTACATACTTACTGTAACATAAATTACTACAAGAACAGGACAGCTTTATAATTAATCAATAATATAATTTGTAGACTCAGTGTATGAGTATGTAGTATGATGCATGAGAATTGTTCAATACTTTTCATCAAGAAACAGGGTTGATGGCTAGCTTTTTTCTGAAATTTGGCAATACGTATTTTTTATTTTGAGAGGTCTCTGATATTATGCACATATTGTTTCAGTTTGAAAATTAATAATAATAACATCGATAAAATTTAATTTTGTTATAATGGTTTCATTAGACTCGCCTAGGGTTCATTAAATACTTTAACATGATAAGCGAAATGTAGTACCAGTAATACCGTATCGTAATAATATTTACTGATAAGTGACAACTCATTGACCAATATTTACCATATCTTGTAAGCCGTTCACTAGATTAGATTAGCTATACAATATACAGATGCATCCTTGGAAAACAGTATCACTAGATAATAACTTTTGATTAAATTTTTTAGTTTACATTCTGATTGTGTGTAGTATGGTGTGTAGGTAAGAAAATGCTTTAACTTACTTACCTATATGAGTGCACTTATCATTCTTGCTTCAATACTGCTATATGATATACATTGTTATCTTGGTGATTTATGGTAACGTTCTAACCGATATAGTCTTTTTTGTTAAGATAAACGTATAAAATTTGCCTACAGTGCTTGCAGTACTATGTATGTTTCCTGACATCTCTGCTTGTTGCTTCTATTTGTAAAATTTTTCTCGTTTATTTGAAAAGATTATATGGGAAAAAGGAAACGACGTTATAACCATGATAGACTTTGGAAGTCTGAAGAATGTCTGAGTGATGTCAAACGTTTTAAACTGCCTGATAGAAGAGAAGAAAGTCAGCAGCTGTTGATGTCTCGTCATATGTCGTTGTGATGTATCGGTAGTTTACAACGTTAGGTTGTGATTGAAAAGTTGACGTACGATTAACCAATTACAAGTATTGTCATCTATTATCGTATGAACGAGGAAGGGAAGGCTCATGAGTACTAAAGAAACATTGATTCCACTTTGTTATTTCTGGTTGGTTTACCGATTCATTGGCTTAGGAAATTGTTGCATTTCAAGCCTTTCAATAATATATTCTGATGTCAATTTAGGTCACGACTAAAATTGTTTATTACTATTTATGAGCGTTATATCCTTTAAATACTGACAGTAATACTGTATTTACTTGTATATGTTAGATATCTATACTTCTTTCGATATCACAGTATAATATTCGTTTAATTATGACACTATTATGCATTTACGCACATTGTTATTGTTAATCGAGTTAACAACAAATCTTTCATCACTTCACTAACCAATTATAGTTATTTATTTCGTTTATACGACTTGACTTTTGAGCTATCGTTATCGTTAAGTAAAAATGAATAACCTCAAAAGAGACTTATGTGAGCAAAAGGTTGATCGTTCGCAAAACAATCATAGATTCGGCGGTACAGTGTTTCATTCAAGATGTGTTTTAAAAGTCGTTGTATGTACTTGTATACAGCTTTTTCATACTGTATATATCGTCACACCCTGGGGTTGCCTGTTATTTATGATGAATATACGTTCTTATGCCTTTATAGCCCTCCATGTGTATCTAGGTAATAATTGTAATTAGGCTCTAGAAGATTGCATGAAATGTATTAAATCTGCGTAACTAATATTGAAGGAAATAATTTATACGTAGTGCTGTAATATAATTCACTAATGGTCGACAATCACTTAACATAATCTATATATACGAATCGGGAATTGCTAACTTAAACTTAATTTATATTTATATTATCTCTTATGGATAATAATAATATTATTCTTATTTATTGAACGATTATGGGTATAGTGATCTGGATTGCTCTGACAAGGTGGCAAATCCTGTTGCTTAAATTCTTTCCTGTTATACCTACTATAGTTCTTGACATGTTATCCATGACTAGAGCCGTTGCAATCATAATTGTCCATATTGTAAATTTGTTCGTTGTGCAACATATTTAACCTGAAAATTTCAAATAATATCATATCATTTATTTGTAACTGTAATTAATGATATCAGTCTATGCTTTAAGCTAGACTTACAATTGATTACAATATTTGATCATGGAGTACTTTTTTATGCTAAATTGTTTGGTGTTAGTCTGGAATGACAACTATGATCGTCTACTGCGTAAGGTATGCGACGATTGTTTTTACATTATTCTAATGTCATAATTCTAACTTTTGTATCTTAATGCAATGAACCTACAGATTTGTTTGATATTAGACGGTAAAGTCCTAACTCTTATACTATAACTTCGACGTGTATTGATGTGTGACATGTCTGAAAGACTATATTTACTCTTACATTGTTGTATGGAAGCCAAAAAATTGACTTCTACGCCTAACTCATTTTATCGCGTAATTGTGTATAAATGGTGATACTGATTCATCAAAGATGGCAAAACAAATAAAATATGGGGCCACTTTTTCTTTTATATTTTCTACGTTTTATATTTATTACCTCATCACTAAAGGTGAATTCTCAATATTGATCGTCTACTAATAATATTGACTTTGATGATCACAAGCAAACAGACCGTATGAAATCCAACGTGGGCAATAGGCTAATTTAGGATACATCAAAGTATGCATTAATTTATAGTACAGCGTTGCGTCGGCGAAATTTTAACTTTATGCGTTATAATTTGTTATGAGTAATTATTACGTTTACAATCATAATATTGACAAGACGCATCGTACTTTATTTTAGCAATAAGAAGACGCCATGTCTGATGATAATTTCTGGTCCTGCTGCTTATCTATTTTTTTTCTGTAAATCCAATATTTACACCTAGTTTTAGCGTCTTGATTGACATAAATAGTGACACACAGCGGCTTAAAGACTGTAGATTTTCTGCATTCCTAGCTTTCTTCCCAATCTCAGACTAATTATCTTAAATTAAATTAATCAAATAGGCAATCATTAAAAAATTTGTTTTTAAATCTAGAATTTTTCCTTAATGTTAACCTTATAATTTTGCCAAGCCCTACAAATAAGCAAGTAATTTGATTTAATAACTTTTATAACTATCTGCTACTTAAGTGCAGGAGTCAAGTGAACTTCCTTTCAATATCACACAACGTATGTAGTATCAATGCCCTTACAGTCTAATAGAAAATATGATGTAATAGAAACAACAAGTACCAAGTTCTATGTGATGGGGCATGGGGCAATTAATGAATATTGCCTCAACGTAGGTCTGTTTGCAAATTGGTTGAAAAAGTGTTGAGTAAAAATGTAATATTAGCATGCGTGATGTCCTCAGTATACTACGAATCATCATCATCACCGTCATCATCTAATTTAACGTCGTGTTCTATACAGTAAATGTATAATATGTGTACACACATACTGTACTACCTTTGACAGATGTGATATTTTTAATTGCTTTGTGATTGGTATTTTATTTCATCTGCTTGAATATACAATAGGTATATAGTATATATGTAATATAAGCATATTATACTCGTCATGTGAGTATAATGGTCACACAGGCTGATCTAAATATACTCGCTATACAATTCTGAAATAATAGGATGCACAAACAAATACTGAGAACTCCACAGCAAATGACGTATTGAGTTCTTAAACTCCGTGTTAAAGAAAATACCTCATTACTAATAATAATATTATATTTTTATCATTCTAATAAAGCAGATTGCTATGATAGTATATAATAAAAGAGATCGTATACAAGAGCATGAGGATTTAATGTTGAAAATAAATCATCACATAAGAATAAGAATAAGAATTCTATGAAATAGTTCATAAAGATTAATGTACGGAGGTTGAGTGTTATACGATTATTACTAATTACTCTAAAAATCAAATAATCAATTTAGAATAAAATATTCCTATGCCACTGAGGTAATGCGGTGCAATTCTAATGTTGATAGAGCAGCAATGACATAACATGTAGCTCATGAAAACAAAAAATTGAGTTTATATCTTTTTCAGGAATAATGCAGTATTGCACTGGATCCATTTAATTTGTTGACCACCACATGGTACATTCAATTTAGTTACAATTCCTTCCCGACTTGTATCATAGTATACAGGGAGTAGCATACAGTTCTTTTCAGGGTATGGACTAACCATTTCCTAGTATTAATATCATGATTAAGAGACATTAACATAGATATGTAATAAAGGAAATTCAAATCGCTAGCTTTTACATTAAAAACAACCCCAAGAATATTTTTTCATTTATTACCTTCGGTACCCACGCTACTTTGCAATCTGGCACAGCTGATATACTGGAAGTATCACGCTGACAATCAGAAAATCGACTACCATCAAATATACATCCTTCGATTTGTAGGCCTGTAATCTATTGTAAAGGAAGTAAATTCATCAGTTTCTTGCTTGTAATAATTATAGGGTATCTTTATTAAATTCTTAACGGTATAAAAGAATGTAGTTTTTCAGTTTGTTTGATGTATGTCGGTACAAACCTTAACTGGATGCATTGCTCCTTTAATTTCTCCATCCCATGAACATTGGAGTTTTAAATTATCCATGGATAATTTTGTCCCTCTATAGTCATATGGTGTAAATATGTTTAATTAGAAGCTATCTATCTATATTAAAAGGGTATTCCAAATACCGCTTATTTACCTTGCTGTTTGTTGCCTTAGTGCATTTAAGAATGTATCTGGATGAAATAGTTCAGCTAAATCTAATGATTCTGAAAGTAAAGATCCTGATTCAGATTTTTGAACCCATGTTCCTAATGCTAACGTCTTGGCTACTAATGCGCGTAACCATTGCATAGGATCTTCTGGACCGTCCCACTTATTGCTCCAACTACTTGGTACCTAGATTTAGATGATTATTGACAACAATCATTTCCATATTCTATTTAATACTTGCTTATACACTCCAAGCATAGTTAATATTAACCAGAATTATTGTAATGCAAAAGTTACCTCGTTTTTAAGAAGCGCTCCAGCTAGTGCGGTTATTGCTGTTGTTAGTAGAGCATTTCCTCGTATAACTTTATTTAGTCCAGACAGAGAGCCATGAACGGACTGTGTAGGACAGAGTATATTAACAAATTATTTTTTGTCGTGATTTAGTCACCAATAAAGTAGGCATGGATTAATCCATAAATTATCTAGTTTTCATATTTTTACCTGCATTAATTTAATAGCATTATATCGTTCAAGTTGAATAAAAGCGGTAACTGGGGATTCATCAACAGCTTTCCCAGAGGGGAATGAGCCTTTCTCTTGTAGTAATTTAGTACCCTAGAAGGAGGAATAACGTATTAAAGAATAGGACATTTTATTTCTTAACTATTGTACTGTATCACTATATTACTTAGAAACTGTAGTTAAATACGGTACGAGTTTTTATACCTGATTGAGTTTCTTCCACAACTGCAATATCGGTCCTAATTCTGTCTGCCATTTCTCTTTATCGAATTTATCAACTATTGCATCAGCTCTCATCAATACTTTCAACTGACTAATAACTTGTGTACTAATTGATCTTTGTATTGATCGTTCAATATTAGCTGGTAAACCAAACAAGGAAGGCTGATCATTATCGGATAATAACGAGATCATATCCATGTAATCTTGGTAATGTGATGATTGAGGCATGCTAAAATTATTGGTGAGTGGTTTTCGTCGGCCTGATTGGCCTCCAATTACACTTTTATTAAAGCATTGATGGAGGTAAGATTCAAGTACTCGAATATCAAATGGGTTATCGATACGGCCACCATAGACTGCATTTTCTAATAAGCCATGGACAAATTCCCACTTCACTGAGTCATTACCGGATTTTTTCAACACCCTTTCAATGACTTCAGCAGCACAACGTAAATCAGATCTTGAAAATTCATAAAATTTCGACCAGCCTTGTGGGATATAACTACGACGCTCTTGAACAATAGCATGAAACCATGCAGCAGTAAATAAAGCTTGTGCTCTAATTGGTGAATTACTTTTCTGGAAAAAATCGGTTGACCATGATTCTAATGTTCTTTGTAAATTTCTTTTTACCCCTATATTACAAGATGCCAATATTAACATACGAGTAAATTCAATAAGTAAATTGTTAAACATAGTTCCAACATGAGATTAAAAGTTATTATCCTAACGTATTTTAAAATGATCACAGATAAGATCAATTTCTCGAACTTACCTGGAGGTGCTTCATAAGTTACTTTCAAGCTAGATTGAAGTAATATTGGTGTAAACTTTGGATGAACCTCTGAAGTTAACCATAGACGGAAATCCTGATGCGGTTCGAGCGATTTAAATTCCTTCTCTAAAATTGGTAACCATGATGTTACTAAATGTAAATTTTTCAAGCAAAGCCAATCGCCATTTCGAGCACAATCGCGTAATAAGCGTATAGCAATATCGGCTTGGCCTTGACCCATTGCTACTTGATGATATTTATCTTCGCCAACAGTCTTAGAAGCAAGATCTTGCAATTCTTGTGATGGATCAGCACCAGGTGAAATAATAATCAAGATTGGTTCATCAGCTACAGTTTCATTAGTATACAATCGTTTTAAATTTAATGTCGGCGGTGACAATTCTTTCATATTGAGTGCACGTGCGGCAAAAAGGCTCATAGCACTTTGTAAACGATCAGGGCGCAAAGCTTGAATAGTTAACACTTGTTGGAACTCACTAATTTTGCGTGTTACATCAGACGGAAACTCTTTCTCACATTGGGAATGCCTTGAAAATGTACTCCAAATATTATTATCGTCTAATTTAAGATTTTGAAACCAAGTTGGGAAGGTGGTTTTCAATGCAGCAATCGATGAGGCTAATTCAGCATCGCACCAATTTGGTAAAAATTCATGAGATCGTTTACTTCCTTCTTGTTTGTGAACGTTGACGTCCGATACAATCAGGCCACAAAAGAATTCCCATTCTTGTTCTTGGAATAATTCTGGTCGAATGCCATGGACAAGGTGCATTGCAAATGTTAAATGATCAGCTTTATATAATGATCGACATGCATATTCGTAGACTAGTGATCTTAACGATGACATTAATAATTTAATTCGCATTTCAATATTACCAGCATCAAGTTCTGATTTTAATGCACGTTGAAATAAGCGTAAAAAGGAGCTTAAACTAAAGCGGTACATATTATTTAATTTACTTAGATCGGTTATAACAAACAGCAAGGAACTACCATATTCGGCTAATGGACGATAAACATCACGCTCTTGATCTAATGCGGATTGAAGTCGTAGTGATTCTTGTAGCGATTCAGCGATTGTAATGCTACTTGCTTTAGTTTTATTTAATGATTCGATTAAATCCTTATTTTCCAAGATATTGCCTTCAGCTTGGGCTAATTCTTCTAATAAGGAATCTTCTAATTTTTCCACTTGAATTTTTAATTCTTCTTCTGTCTTTAAAAATTCCATTTTGCGTACTTCTAATTCTGGTTTCTCGTTTTGTATTGTCATAGCTAATAATTGAGCTGTTAGACCAGCTTTCGTTGTTGTAAAATTAATTTCGTTCACGATTGATGCAGCATCTGATGGTAATTCCGGTTGAGGATTACGTGTAGCTAAATATAACTTGAAATCTTCATTATAGTCGATAACTTTTTCGCCAATTTGGATCACATAACGTGGGCCTTGGCTGATTAAATCATTCCTTAATAATGGTATTAATATAGGCTCGATATTATCCACTTCTTGGATAATTAATGTTTTACCAAATCGTATCGCTAACTCAAGTGATGTCGTAAAGTTAGGATCTTGTTGATTGACTATTTCTAATCTTGCATCTTTTAAATGGGTTTTTAACCAATCGGTTGCTCTCATCGAGGGATCGACTAAAAATGGTGTTATAGAAGACTTTAAAATAAAGATAGCATTCTCAATGGATAAATTATCCGACGGTAGACCTTCTGCTTTCCAGGACAATTGCTCACTTTCTGTACTCAAAAATCGTCGCAAATCCAATCGATCTACATTACATGCACGACACCAATCATGAATTTTATTTTCACGTACATTTTCCGGTGCACTTCCAAGATAAGTCATAAAACCAGCTGTAATTAATGACCATCGAGGTAATTGATTCATTTCTGATGTTAAGTTAGTAACTTGAGTTGACCATCGTTTATATTCCCCATCTAATTTAGTCACTAATGTCTCAGCTGCATCAATCGTTTCTTGTGCTTTCTCTAGCTGTATCTTTAATTTAGCCGCTTCTGTTGTACGCTTCTCGAAACGCTCTTTCATAGCTGCAACCTCTTTATCCACTGCATTTAATGCTTTAACTAATTTATCTAAGCGTGCTTGTGATTTATCAAGGTTACGCTTTAACGCATTTTGTTCCGTTTCAAGGGGTTCAATCTTTTCTAATACAATAGAAAATTTAATATTGGCTTTAACCCATTCAGCTAATGGTGCAGCAGCTGCACTAGCACGTTTAGCTACTTTTTCATCGAACGAATTACTCGATTTGAGTAATTCATTGACATTGTCACGTATATCTGTTGTAATTTTACGTGCATCAAAAGTGCAAATTTCTTCTTTAACACCACGTTTAGCTAAAAAGGATTTCATGCTGACCCATGATGTATCAAAAATGCCCATTAATCTTAGTACACCTTCTAAAATATCACGTATAACATCAGGAGGCATACGTAGTGAACGTATTTCAGACAAAGATTCTGGCTTAATATTACCAACAGCTTGACGAGCGGATTGAACTAATGGCTCAATCTCGGATAATTCGATATCAATCGCTTTCTTTCTTTTTTCTAATTTAGCCGATTCTTCAGCTAATTTTTGTTTTAATATTTCCATTTCATTTCGCTGATCACTAGCTCGTTGCATACTTGTGGATATTTCTTGCAATGCCTGATCAGCATCAGCTTGTTTCTCAGCTAATAATGTACTCTGTTTAGCTGCATCCTTTTTTAAATCATCGACTAATGATTTAGCTTCATTTAATTTCGATAAACCAGCTTGAAGGCGACTTTGGCGTTTTTCAATACCTTCACGTTTCATGTTATAGACAGCTTGACAACTTTGCAATAATGTCATAAAGCGACGTGGTGTACTATCGATTGGTGCTGATTCATGGATGTGTAAGATCGCTTTAGCTAAATCATTCCAGACATTTTTAATGCTTGAATCGGATTGAGTGTGTGGATCTAGATAAATCTGAGGTATTTTCATGAGACTGTTGGTACTCCATGAATCCATCCATTGGAATGAGCAAGCTTTATAAAATGCTGGATTAGACTTGCATGCTACTGAAAATTGTGCGTTAGTATTGTCCATAATTAAGACACAGTGAAGTTTAGAGCGTACACGGGATGTAAAATAGGATAACAACGGTCCACGGAATCCATCTTGTGATGCTTGATCACGCAATGGGGTTAATAATGGCTCTAATTCTTCTGTCGAGTAGAGACCTGGTACTTCACCGCCACTTAATAAGCTGTTAATAATTTCTAAAAATTCCGCTTCAACAACTTGATAATCTTCAATAAGTAATACGACATTTTCTCCTTCAACGCCAGCTTGTTGCATGACTGATTTTAAATCATTTCTAAATTGTTTTAAGCCGTAATTGCGTGAAACTTTAGGTGTAAATAATGTCATCTGATGTAAATGGGTAACTAATCGAACAGCAGTTCGACGACCAACGCCACTACGTCCAGCAAGTAATAATGATCCACCTGGTTGTGTTATAACTCTTTCAACACGAGCAATAAGATCGAGTACTTCATCAAAGATTAATATATTTAATTCACCATTTTCACGGCTATAACTTTGCAAACCTTTCTTAACAACTTGTTGAAAATCAGCAGCTGATAATTTACCCAGTAAGCGGCCATAAATAGGTTTTGCTGGCAAGGTATTACTTTGATCATCACTTGGCACGGTGGTTCGAGATTGGGTTGCACCCCATGATACATAGTGATAACCTTTTAATTCAGGAGTAAATGACCAATCAGCTCGAATATTAGATTGAACAATATTATCAAATCGGTCTAATGTGCTTGATCCAACTAATCGATCGCGAAATAATTTGTTTGCTTCATAAGCGAATGCAGTTAATAAGCTATCGCCTGTTCCGCTTGATTCGGCTAAATCGTAACGTAGTAAACCTAATGTCCATCTTGTTAGATCACGCGGTGTAAATAAATAATGGGAATAATCATCGACAGTAAATTTGGATCGAACTTGCTCATAGATATTGACCATTGTTCCTGCTAATGTATGGACATTTTTAATGGATCCCCAAACTGGATGACTACTTAACGAATGATGTAAAATTGCACGCAAATATTCGCCATAAATTGCGCGTAAATCTTCCGGTACAGCTACAGAACATATACGTACAATCGATGTAAATCTTGTTGTTAATGGATAACGACCTAATGTTGTACTTGGATTCATCGATGATACAATTTGGATACCTTCAAGGCCAACCCATTCAAGATTAGAGTCATAAAATCCGTTATAAGTTAATAATTGCTGTAGGAAGGCAATTAATTGGCTAGTATTCCATTTGTCCGGTTTAGGTAAATTTAAATCTTTTAAATACAGTATCAATCGTTCGCAATCTTTAGGTCGATAAACACGGCCAGTATTAGTACTAATAACGATGCACATTTGATTTAATTTTTGGATAACATGAGATGGAGATGTTTGCGAGCTACAGTGGATCAAAGCTACTTGGCATGATCGTAATTGTGAAAAGCAATAATGTAAGAGTAACTCTTTACCGCAACCTTCCGGACCAACAAGAATAAATGGCTGTCGATTATTTGGATCCAGCCAAGAATTAAAAATGTCTATCGATCGTTGCGCATCTGCGGTATTAATGACTGGCGATGCTTGATTCGAAAAGAAATTTTCGACCGTTAAATGATCAGGCACAATTATTTCGTAGGTTTTCAATTTTTGACTATCGCTATCATAATAACTATCTAGAATACGACGCGAATCAGGTGGTGATTCACGCACCCAATTGAAAACTTCTTTTGCTAATGCAACGCGAGAATCATGATGTAGATTTGCACCTAAACCACGTATAAGGTTAACAGCAAATTCACCTTTACTTCTGGATTGTCGTAAATGGGATAAACCGTTCATGACCATTCCAATCATGCTAGTATCGATAACAAGATCATTTTGTTTCCAAACCCAATCGAATGCACGAAAGAAATAGTCTTCAATCCATGTTTGCAAACGTTTTTGATCCTCATCTGGTAGACCACGGAGCCACGATGCAATAATTGCTTTTATGTCAGTATCTTCATCACTTAGAAAGATCATACCCATACGTGAAATAGTTGCAGGTGATGCACAGCTTAAATCATGAGTTTCAAATAAGAAATTAACGTTAGGACCAAATTGAATTCGTTCACCAGATGGCATCGTTAATAAACGATTATCATCAAGGACAGAATTTAATGATTCGACCCATTCAGGATCAATATCACCATCGCAAATAATCCAAGACTGAATTTCAATCGGTTCACGAACTACTTGTCTTGCACTATAGGTTAAAACACCATCGGACCATTCGCGTGTATCAATATCAATTTGGCCTAATAATTGCGTTCTAGGCATTGCTTTTGGATTCATCGTATATTGCTTGACAACTTGGCCAGTTTTAGCTAATGCTGCCTTTAAGACACGCCATAATGTCGTTTTGCCGGAACCAGAAGGACCTACGACAACAACACCCATACGTTGTCGTAACTGCTCATATAATTCGAGCGCTTTTTTAACTTGCCTTTCGTTTACGGATAAATTAAATTCTTGACATACTTGACGTATCGATTCCGCTAGTTTTTCATAACCAGTGCCACTAAATGGAATGCCTTGGAAAACATCTTGAATTAAGGCATCAAATCGTTTACTATCAGTAAACGTTAGCTTCGATAATGTATTAATTCTTAACGCTTGGACAACCAGTTTACCTTCAAGTTGGATATCAATTTTAACGTTTTGCTCTTCCTCTGATCGTGATTTTAAATTATTTTTCATATCCAACAATAAATGTCCACAACTTTTTAGGACAGTCTTGAGTGCACGAAGACCCCAATCATAGTGTTGTTGACGAGATAGTAATTCCTTGGATAAATTAAAGATAGCTACAATTTTTCGACCTAAACTTTCAGCGTGTTTATAGCCTTCAGAAAAGAGGATCACTTCAGCAATTAAATCATTATCGGGTTTAGACATAGCAACAGGTCGGAATAACTGCTTTAAATTATCGGGTAATTTTTGTCGTCCACCATAACCTTTACCAGCTGGATTTAATGTTATAAATATGCCTGAATTAGTATTGATTTCAATGTCACGTTCTAATAATTCAATAGAAGGCGATTTATTTTTAATAGCTGCTTGGATAACTTGAATTTGCATGGAGACAGCGGATAAAACAGCTTCTTCTAATCGATTAAACTCATCGAAACAACCCCATGCGCCGCATTTAACTAAGCCGATAAAGATACGTCCCATCGATTTAACATCAATACCCTCATCGCAGTTAAAGACAAGAACTTGTCGACCCATTAGACCACCAAGAGCTTTAACTGACTCTGTTTTACCTGTTCCAGCTGGGCCGTAAGGATTACCACCTAATCCGATATCCATGCCTTGCGTTAATGTTAAATAGCATTTATCGGTCAGTGGGGTATGGACAAGTTTTGATGCATTGCCTTGATATTCATATGTATATTCAAATTGAGCATCACACATACAGCTAATGCAACTGCCTTTAATCAAATAAAATCGCAACTGTTTTTGCCATAACCAATCATCGATCGATTTAACTTGAGCTTGGATTAAATCTTTAACAACTTGAACAAAGTGAATCGTGTCTAAAACCATAGCTTTTAATTTTAGTTCCAATACACGCAAGGATAACGATGATGATTCCCCGCTCATATCCACACTGGTATAGGAATCTAAGCGCGATTCCGTTTCGATTAAAAATTCCGATAGTCGACCTTGTTTAATTGCAGTTTCACAGCGCTCTGTAAATAAAATATAATCGGATAAGCATAATATTTGTGATGGATAGACATTAGGATCGACTTCTGATGTTCCTGCTCGACCAGCATGGACACATTGATTTAAAAGTTCTTTTAATGTCTCTTGCATTTCATTGGATAAATGGCCAAGCCAAATTTCAACTTCAGGTGTAACATTTACTGGACGTTTCAAGGGTACAACTTCTCCATCTAATGATTTCATAGCTAAAATTGTACCGCTGTCTGGTCCAAATTCAACACTATGAATACCAGCGAATAATTTCTTCAAATGAGATTGAATGACATTAGGATTAGTTGATTGGCCTAATATCTCTAATAAATCATCATCACCAATGAAATAGAAGCGTGGAAATACTGAACGTTTCTCTTCTAGGAATTCATTTAATGATTTCTGGCAACGTTGCAATTGATCTAATAGTGTTACTAATAATTGGCGTAGTCCAGCCTTAGCTACTAGCGATAGTACACGATTATCGCGAGCAATATCCGCCAGAATAGATCGATAATCATCATCGACACGTTTAAATCGACCTTGCTCACGAGGTAAAGCACCACGTCCAAAGATAGGTTCTAGATAGACCCATTTACGTTGAATTTGATTTAAATTATGTAAATATTCATCCAGATCAGCAAAACGGCTTTCCCATATTGTAGCTTTATCCTCGAAACCACGATAATATGGTGAATCTTTTAAGGATTGTAATAAACTTTGATTGTCACCGACTTGGTTAACTAATTCTTTCCATTCTTTAATGAGCATTAATTCGTGTCCATGGGTATCATTATAAGGTGTTAAATTAAATGTAGCACTAGCACCCCATAATTCTAATTCATGTAAAGCTTCACGAATTGAAACTTCACCATGCGCTCGGCTATTTAATTCTTTTAGTTCGCCTGCTTTAGCGACAATATTTTCCGATACAGATAGGATATCATGAAATCGCAATTTCTCTAATGTTGTTCCTCGTGGTAAGCTAACAATGCGGAATAACTCTATCCAATGATCGGCTGATAGTGGCTCACCACGGACAAACTTTAAGACTGGTACTAATGCTTTGTAGCGATCGATGTCTTTTTGCAATTTAATAGTCATGGTATTGGCTTCATTTTGTAAACTGAGCATTCTTAATTTATCATCCCATTCTGTTAGAAATTCATCAAATTGGAATGAAGACGCTCTAAAGGATAGCCAATCTTCTTGACCTAATTTATCTAAGCCAATCATGAAATCTTCAAATAATTTCCACATGGATTCGAAATGCTGAAGATCAGTTTGTAATTCAGTGATTTGTTGAAATTCTGGTTCTGCAAGCTCGAAATGGACACAATCTTCTTTAATTTTACTGGAATTTTCAACTAATTCATTAAATTCAGCACGGCGCTCTTTTAATGATTCTACAGCTTTGAGGCATGAAGGGGTATCGGAATAGGAATCAATTTCACTGGGTTTTAGTTGATGCCAACGCGATGCAAATTTTTCAATTTCAAGGTTGAATGTCTTAATACGTGATTCAACATTACCGCGCATAACTTTAGTTTGCTCTTCCATCATTAACTCATGGCTTTCCATCATTAATTCAAACTTATCCCAGCGCGGTTGTAATTGGCTTAGTTGATCGATACCTTGGCCAGCGACAGAACGCAATAATTTGTTTTTAGATTCAGCTTTTTCAAAGTGTGGATAGACTTTACTTCTTTCTTCACTTAACTTTTTCTGATCGCCTTTTGCTTGACTAATTTCTTCAACGCTTTGTGGCCTTGTTGATAATTTATCGATTGCATCGTTTAAAAATTCATCAATTACGGTTATATGAGATGTTATTGAACGACGTAAAGAGTTGACCAAAGCATCATACAGCTGTTGAATATGATCATCGATGGTTGTTTTAACAGGGATGGTCGAGACAATGATGCAATCAACTTTAATAGTACTAGGTAGTTTCTCAGCTTCTCTGCCACGAGCTTTTAAGGCACGGAAATTTTTCTCCCATTGATTTACAGTCGTTAAATGTTCTTCGACAACTTTGTCGATATCGATAGCACCAATAGCAGTCCAGTCAATAAACATATTGCGAGCATTTTCTAGTCTTTCAAACAATTGCTCAGCTTTACGATAAACTACAGCAAATCCATCAGAATTACGGTCGATCATAGCTGGAAAGATGGTATCTAATGGCGATACATTGTCGGAAACCCCTCGGAAATGATTTGGAATGCATATGAATTTTTTAATTTCACGATAATATTTGGCACGTATTTCTTCAATGGGAGGCCGAAATTGCAATCTTTGTTGTCTGTTTGTAATAGTTATAGCTACAGTTAGTCATTTTCTTCAACTGTAGCACATAAATACATATCACAAAGTAAATCATAGGTAAACTTTATAATATTGTCTTAGATCTTTCCATAAGATCGGATAATTTGAGTAAGAGTATCGTTTAGATTACATAATGAATCGTTAATAATGTCTTTTTCAATCAATATGACGAGAAATAATGGTTGGTGATATTCTATCATTAACTATTATGCTATAAAGTATCATTAGAAAGGAATTCACTAATATTGCCTGTAATCAATAGGATAGATAGGTACGATGCTTTGATTTGGAAAAAGCTATTATCAATCAATAATTAAAATTTAATTTATATTACTATTGGTTAGTAAATACTGACCTGAATACCAGCTCAACTTTAATTTCAGACAAGTTTTCATTTAATGATTCAAGGCTCAATTGATATTGATGTTCCAAAGCTTTGTAAAGTTGATGATCCCAATGAAGTTTCCAAGTTTTCATACTTTCGGCATTAAATTTCTTCAATCAAGTGCAAGTAAAATTTTTAATTCAAATTATCGAGCAGTAAAGCATTACAAGCAGTCAGGAAATACGGTATCTCTTACCTGCGAAATATTGCCTAAGTTCGCCATGATTTGTCTAATTTCCATTAGACCATCTTTCCATCTTTGTTGTTGTTTTAGTAACTCGATACTAAATAAACGAGTAACCTAAAAGAATTATTTTAAAATATTTGAGCAAATAGTAGTTAACAAATAGTCAGCAGAGAGTTAAAGCAAAAGATCTTAAGGAGAAAAAATTACCTTTTCAGTAATTGTATTGTGGCATTTTCTTAGCAACCGATTCTCAGACATTAGTTTATCAGCAGTAGACTGCAATTTTGTTATATAATCTTCAAGTTCTTTAGGATTATCCCAAGTGATTTGTATCCGTCCATCATTAGTATTAGTTGAACCAGTTTTGGGATTTTTAATTAGTTTCTCAAATGAAAGAGCAGTGTTTAACATCATTGCCTGTTGACTTGGAATCATTTGCTGATCAATGGTGTTATAAAAGTGAGCAACCTAAAGAAAAATTTAAACAAATGCAGATAATAACTGAATCTGTTTCTTAATTATTTTGTGTGTGGGCAATTTGATAATTTAAAAACTGTGTATACCTGCTTTAAAATGACTCCATGACGATAAAATTTTCGAGCAGTTTCAGATGCGTGTTGAATTTTGGCTGGGATAACGTAACCTAGGGCAGAAAGTTGACGAACTTCTCTCAGAAGTGTAACCAGTCGCTCGCTGTAGTGGACAATCAGCTTTCCTTGATCCTTCTTTGATAATTCCATAAGACGTCCACTGGTTTGCAAACTATCCATGCGTAAAATAATTAATGATTACACTTATAAATTTTATATTGTAGTTATTACCGGTAATAATTATACGTGTTTGAAATATTTGGTTAAGTAGTAACCTCAGAGATTGCTTAGGGTCGCTTAAAGCTGATATCATAGAATGAGACCAATTATCGAATAGGTCATTACGGTATCCTTGGAGCTCTTCCAGTAGATCTGTAATATCTTTGCGAAATTGTTTAAAGCCATCCAGATCTCCTAGCAAGACTTCAGCAGTTGTCATCGTTTCATCAACCTATAGTTAAATAAGCAAATTGCAACTGTTACTCAAACTATTATATTTCGATCGCCTGAAATCTTTGTAACTTTGGCGCTAAGATATTCGTATGTAGATGAGTTTATGGAATCCTTACTTTCGCTTCCAATTGTCTTGTCCAAATAATATTATTAACAACTTCTGGAATATTTTTACCACTTGATGAAGCATCTTGTTTACCACCAGACTGATGAATATTCAGATGAGAGGTAAACTCTTCTTTTAAACTTTTCATATAAGCAACTAATTGACCCAGTAATGTTTCCCTTTTTTACAGTTAGCATAAATCATTGTTAATGAAATGAATACTACTTAAACATCTACATCTATATTGAAATCTATAATACATAATACAGTGAGTGAAGATTTAAGTTATACCTCTCAGTTACTAAGGATTTACGAATATTTGATCTTTTAATCAATTCGCGATACCGTTGGAATTCTCTTAGTAGCTAAATGCAAATTGCAGTAATGAATAAGTATTAGGGTTGTGTGTCTATATATCTATTCAGATAGAAAGAAAGAACTGTCGCTTACTTGATGAGGCTTTCCTTGAAGCTCTCTCAACTGAGATCGAAGTTTGCTAGCAATTCTCTGCTCTGCTGGTATCATGCCTTTCTCGTATTGGCTAACTGCAGCACGCCAGAGAGGTTCAGTATAAGGATTATAATAAAGTGGATTTGAAGAAGAAAAGGACTGAAAGACTTGATCAGTTTTTAATTCATCGCATTCGTAAACAGACAGTAAATGAGTTAGTTGTTCATGGGTAGAGCGTAAATTTAGAATCTATAGTTATGGAAAAAGATAAGATGATTGATTAATGATAAATAATGTCTGAATGATATGTCTATTTTTCATTCAATCATGTAAGTTGTCAAGGTTTACTAACTTCCTCTAGGCGACCAGAAAACCGAGATAAATCTTCGGGATTGAATTTTTCTCCACTCCAGGGATTAGGGCCGTAACGTTTCCAGAACTGAGCGGTTAGTGTTTCAGTGGCAACAGTCCAGCGTTCGCAAATGGAAAGACCAGCTTTAATAGAATCTCTAACTTGATGATAGGGGCCGGTCCATAAATTTAGTACATTCAATTTACGTTGAATGTATCGTTCAATGAAACCATTTATGACTCCTAATAAGTGTCTCATTCTATCTTCCGAATACGGAGGCTTAAATTCAAGTTGTTTCCAAACATCATCTAAAACGTCTTGTGTTTGTTCAATTAATTCAATACTGTCACCTAATGTTGTTGCATCGATATTTGCATAACCACTCGCCAGTTGTTGGAACAATTCTTTAAAATGTCCAGCTCTTTCTCGTATTTCTTGCTTGGTACTGGATAAGGATAATTCAGACCAATAATTAAATTCGTCGGATGGAGTTAATATCCCGGCAAAATTATTGGTTTGATCAGCACTTTGAAATTTCGATTGGTTATTTTGTTGGCGTACGGTACTTGCTAAACCCGCTTCCAGTTCGCTGATTAATTTCTGTAATTTTGGATCAAGCGACTGGCTCCATTTTTGGTCTCGGAGTAATAGTGGAGCGAAAATATGATGGACACTATGGTATAACGTATCGACGGGCGAATCTAGCAATGATGAGACCACAACATTATTATGGATATTATCAGGTGTTATAACAGCCGGTTTCAGCTTGTAAAAGAGCAAAGTTTGTTGTGATGTATCACTCGGACTTGCTGTATTTTTGGCTACAATTGCCTTACTCCCATCTGATTGTTTTTGTAGTGTTAAGTTTAAAGTAGTACAATTGCCATCATCCAAAAAGGTATCCACTTGGACTTCTTTACCAAGACGGGTAATTGTATTGTCGGAGATTGGAATTCCAAGATAACTGGAAGCCGTTGTCAATAAAAATTCCTTTCTAGTATCTACAGTTGGCATCTTGATCAATTTATAAGTAGAGTTAAGTCCTGAGCCAGTTGAAACTGTAATTTATTTGGCCTATAGGATAGTTCGCTATCTCGATATTTGAAGTTAGGGTTTGTTATGAACTAGGATAAGATGCGGTAGTTATTTCACAATTGAGATGATAGACGTATATCTATCCTACTACCTACAACTCCTACAAATTTGGGTTATAAATGAATTCAACTACCAGATTGCTAGTAGTACTACGATCAAGGAGAAAAATTGCACACTTTCTTGATTAATATCATCATTAATAACTGTTATGGTATGTCATTGAGTAGCTAAGGGTATTATCATTATGAACGGAGTAATTTCAGATTGTATTAATAACAGAAATGGCTAGAAAATTCGGTACTAATAGACTGTGCTAAAGCTCTTCATTAAACACTATACTCTTACAGTAGTAAACTACCTGATCGTTCATTGCCGATGTGCCCAACATCGATACAGCAGTGTTAGTATCATAGCAACCCGGTTGCACTGTGCAATTGCGCATGTCGTTGCAGCCCTAGCAACATCCTGCTTTAATAAGGCGCTTGCCTCTTGGCACGGTAGTGTTGACTAGAGACATGGACTACTAAATAAGTATTGAGTAGTCCATGCTATGGCTATGAATTCATTCTGTCCTATTGCTAAACTATAGAAACTGACTATTTTCTTGGTCATTTGAATTGTAAAATTATACTATCCATCTGCAAGTGTACACTGTGCCGATTACGTCTTGAAATGGGTATATGGAAAACAACGATAATACGTCCACTACAGTAATATGATGCGGTTTTAGTTTTAGGGTCTTTATTGTACGGTCGACGGTCCAATCTTCCGATGTAGTTCAATGACAAGTGAAAATAGTCAGTAATAAATACTCGTTGACAGTCCCTCTCTCTCTTTTATTACTAATCTTTGGTTCAAATAAGGACTTACTTTAAGAAAACACTTCAAGTGTTGGAAAGTATATTTACCTATAGCTTCTAGTAGAAGTGAATGTTGAATCAGTAAACTACTGTACAGTGTACACACAGTAGTACACAACACAACCGCTAAAGATTCAGTCAAGTTTACTTCAAAGATTAACTTTTATATGGCGTCTGATTAATTATTATGGTTGCATAAAATAATAAATTTCGAAGTAGATAATGTGTGCGATCATGGTGATCAGGCATTTTGTTGGAAATTGCAGAATTATTCAGTACTGTCATACATTTTTAATGGGCACAATTCGCGTGCTCTTTCTTTGTTTTATTGGCATACTCAAACAGACTCGTCCTTAATCAAATAGGGTAATGTTTCTAAATTTATACATAATTATTTGAGGTGCTTTCAAGGTGGTCTCTGTGGCGCAATCGGTTAGCGCGTTCGGCTGTTAACCGAAAGGTTGCTGGTTCAAACCCAGCCAGGGACGCTTCCTTTTTTTTTTCTCTTTTTCTCCTCAAGGCCACAGACTACCGGACGGTACTGGATGTCCTGGACTTCGGATATCATTTTGGAAGTAGTGTACAGGACTATATTTGGGTTCAGGGCCTAATAAGAGCTTTGAAGAGAAAATTCTTACTGTATTTATAGTTCAGTACTGTACGAGTGTACCTTGCATTTCCGGCAGTTTTTTTTGATTATTATGAAAGACCTTTAAAGACCTTGAGTAAAATTGAATAGCGAAAGAATTGTACATTACTGTATGACTTGTAAATCACTACAGTATTTCATGGTAATCCTATAGTACTGTACAGTACTGCCGTGGTACAGGATATACTGTACACAGTACAGTACAATGGACATGTTGTACTGTACAGAGAAGAGTTCGATTACTCGTGGTGCATTACTTGCATAGTTTATTACAGCCCTAATGCAGGACTCTGCTAAATACAGTACTGTGATTGATTTTCTAGCAACAGCAAAATTGTCCTATGGGCGAAATGTTATTTACATGAATTTGGTCTACTGAACTAGTTATAGGTTTCAGTAATACAGTACTAGTACAGAAACCATCAGATCTAAATCAGATTGAGTACAGTATAGCAATGCAGTGATTACAGCCTTAGACTACCACCTTAAAAAAAAAGGTACAGTATGTCTCTACGGTAGTACGTAGTCCATGTTATTCTAGGTAGGAATTTGCAAAGGTACTCGTATGATTGCAAAATCATTCATTTAACCTTTATTGGTATTTATGTTAGACTAAGTTAAAGCTCTAGAACAAAATTAGTTGTAAAGATAGCACCATAGATTGTGATACAAGTTTAAAAATAGTCTTGTTAAGAATGCAATTACGATATCATATCTGTAGAAAGTTAATTTTATTTATTTATATGTTACAGACAGTAACAACAGAATTGTGCAGATACTGTCGATGGAATGATATAGGTACAATAAGAGGCCAGCTAGATGCTACACAGGTGTATAATAATACAATTTGCAATGATATAGAATTGTTCTCCTCCTTTAATTCAAATTTAATCTGTATCCATATCGATTTCTTGAATAACTTGCGTAGCTCTTTTGATCTTTGCTTCTTTCTTAACTGTAAGCATAGTATAATGTATAAGTTAGTCATTATTATCAATCGCTTGAATCAATCAAACAAGGCTGTTTCTATTACTATTTAAGCACTTTTAGCAGAGCATAGTTTAATGCATAGTATAATGTATAAATTAGTCATTATCATCAATCACTTGAATCAATCAAACAAGGCTGTTTCTATTACTATATACTGCACTTTTAGCTGAGCACAGTTTTCAAGTAGAATGGCGTAAGAGTGCACTACTTTGAGCTATAAGGCCTTTTACTACTAACCTTTGGGTTCCTCGAGAATGTGAATATTTTGCTTTACTTCTTCGTAATCTGCCTCTTTCAGTGCTGCTGTGTTTGCTTTCAGTCTACGACAAATAGTCAAATATAATTCAATTTCTGAGAAACTGCGTCACTTGGATTTATAGTAGACCTCGTCTATCTTGTATGCATTGCTTTACATGAAACCGGGCCATGTGCAGCAATTTATTTCGATAACTACGACAGAGTGCTTCATGTTTGGCGGGGCAAGAGTATTATCGACTTACCTATTCTTAACGTATTGATGCTGTCTTTTCATTTTGATTTCTTGAACTCGTTTAATAGCTTCGACTAACGGGTATGAGAGTAATGGTAAAATGATCAGTACAGTATCGTGTTAAAGTTTGTCAAGCACATTATTCTATTAAATCATACGTGATTTATTCCATAGTTCTCGGTTATACTTGACTGGAATATTTCTATTTCTTTCAAATTCAAAAGTTGAATCCTAAACATAAAATCAAGCAAATGCTTGAGGCTACAACATGATGGATGCGTGCACGCAAAAAACATGCTATTGATTGAATATGTATGAAGTAGACTTACGATAGCCAACTCTTTGCCTGCCGATTTCCTAAATGCTTTCGTCCAACGGACTTTACGCGGGTTACGATGTTTCTTAAATGCTTTATGGCATTTGGCTCGGCAAAATTTGAATACCTAAGAGGACCAGAAATGATATCCGGGATAGCATTACTACGACATGTTGGGAGCTTCATCAGCCAATTCCATTCGGTATCATTTTTAGAGTTCTATTGAATTCGCTAGTTTACAGTACTGTAGAGACGCATACTGTGTAACGTTTGTGCCAGTAATATTGTTAATACAGTACTATATAGCGTCTTTGATGATCATTTCATCCATTCGTCCAATTCATGTTTAAATTGATTATTAATCCTTATAGCACTACTGCAATTACTTGCTGTAACTTTGCTAACGCGGCACTGTCGCTCAGCTTACCTTATTATCGTTTCTTACAAACTGGATTCCGTGACCAGGATAAATAGTTGACGAACAGAAATAACACTTTACTAATCGCATGGCAGTATATACAAAGTCGTTGTAGTAAATTAATTTAGTATATTAAAAGTTTTTCTACTACTGTAGGAAGCAGAATTGATGCTGACGTAAAATGTCGAAAAGTAAAGCAGTCTACACCGGGTAAGGCAGCATGCACAATTGCCCATTCCGAGTTGCGCATGCGTCTAAAAAAAAAAAAAGATGTCCCTGTATCCTAGTGTACATTAGTGAAAGACAGTCCGGTAATATACTTTAGCCTCAAACCCATCCATGTGTTTGGTACACAGGCCTTTGATAGAAGTTCGATTTTCAGCATTCCTAGAGTAGGCGGGGGCGAGGTACAGTCATGGTGTACAGTGTACAGTCCCGTCCCTTCTTACAGTCATGGTACTGTACAGTACTGTACTGTACACTGTAGTACTGGAGCACCATTTTCAGATGGGTTTTCGAGCTACTTTTGATGCAGTTAATTTAGTGGGAAAACTGGACACTAAATATTATTTATTTATTATTAATAGAATAAGATAGGTATAAAATTTCATGATGACAGTAATGTACTGTAACGCTACGAGAGATAGGATAGATAGGATTATTAATAGAATAGAATAAGATAGGAATAAATATAAAATAAAATTTCATGATGACAGTAATGTAATGTAAAGCTACCAGAGATAGCTGCTAGTCGTGAAAAGAATTGATTCCAAAAAATATAACATGATATACTGATGATTGACTGCTGAATGAGTAGACGCATGACACTGCAATAGAGCTCCAGTTTAGTTTGCATCGTTTTGCTGATAAATTGCAAAGATTGAAGAATAACATTGAGTTACAAACTTGATTCTATAATATTGCAGTAGAATGCATTATCGATGGAATCTTGTCTTGACTGTTGTGTGGCTATGGCTTTTATACGTCGCTGGTATACACATCTTCACCAAAGGTTTCCTTCTCCGACGTATGGAAATTGCCAACAAAAGTCATTGTAGTCAACCTTGGCGATTCAATACTGCTATCCAATCACTCTATCAGAGCAATAAGGAGAAAGACACTTGTACTATACCTGCACAATATCATCGAGCAATTTTGATCATTATTGATGCTCTACGATTCGATTTTGTCAAGTACGATGAAAATTGGATGGGACAATCTTATTATAGAAATAAATTGAAGATAATACATGAATTAATGACAACACGACCGAATCAATCAAGACTATATCAATTTATGGCTGATCCACCAACCACCACTATGCAACGAATTAAAGGCCTTACAACAGGCAGTCTGCCAACATTTGTTGACGCTGGAAGTAATTTCCAAAGTAGTCAAATTAGCGAAGATAATTTTATCCATCAGTTACGTCAATTGAATAAAACAATCGTATTTATGGGCGATGATACATGGGAAGGCTTGTACCCTAATGTTTTTCATCGCTCACATCCTTTCCCATCATTTAACGTTAAAGATCTACATAGTGTCGATAATGGTGTTGTCAAACATTTAATGCCAGAAATGCATCGTCATGATTGGAGTGTACTGATAGCTCATTTTCTCGGTGTTGATCATTGTGGTCATACTTATGGTCCCAATCATCCAGAAATGTCCAATAAATTAATACAAATGGATACTATCTTAAGGTAAGGAATTACGTTGGCTGAAAATAGCAATTGTATTAGAGGCTACTCAATGTACTTTTAAAATAGGATGTAGCTCATACTGTAATTGTATCACTCGTAATATATTTGATAATAAATCATATCTAATCGCTAATCATTTCAGTCAAGTAACGCAAATTAATCTAGCGATGTACTCAATTAATCCTATTAGAAAAATCATCGCTAATATCGATAATGATACTATACTATTGATTATGGGAGATCATGGTATGACTCGAACTGGAGACCATGGAGGTGATAGTGATGCTGAAATTACAGCGGCACTATTCGTTTATTCTGGACGTCCTATAAATAATGGTAGGCCAGACAAGGTATGAATAATATCTAGAATAAATAAAAAAATTGTATCACTGGATAGATTAATTCATAAGGATCATGACTTAACGACAATACTTCATAAAAAATTGAACATCAATACGGTACTATTTATCGTCATCAATGTAATTCTGACAGGTACTATTGACATTTTAACTGTGCAATAATACAGGGGTGGAAAACAATTTCACAAGCTGATTTAGTACCAACTATATCTCTATTGCTTGGACTACCTATTCCATTTGCCAATCTCGGCTTAGTAGCAGATGAACTCTTTACAATTACAAACGATTCTTTGATAAACATGTACCACAGGATTGAAATGCTGCGAATAAATGCTTGGCAGGTTAACACTTATTTAAAAACTTACTCAAAATTGGCTAATGATTTTCTTGGTCCAATATCGCTACAATTAGAAGAAGAATACACAGCTTTAGAAGCAAATTATTGGAAAAATTTAAATTCACATGATTTATCGTTAAACAGTGAACAATTAAGTAACATCCATCGAGCCTATCAAAGCTATCTGAGGAATGTACGAGAAATTTGTGCAAGTGTTTGGGCTAAATTTGATATGATTACAATTTGCTTCGGTCTTTTAATACTAATGATAGCCATTATTAGTACATTAATGATATTACAACGCCAACGAAATTTGAAAGAATCTGTTTTAGTCCAGTTGGAAGTAGATAGTACCATTAATTGGAATATCAAACTAGCTTATAGAGTTTGGTTCTTGACATTAGTGACGTTAGTTCTAGCTACTTATTTTTTACATTGGCTTGATATATCATACGTTTTGTCTATTGTTGTCTTTATAAGTGCATTGGCATCAGCTGTATCTTGCTTTTATACTAATACAGGCAGACTTGATGATTATTTTATAATTTGGGTAAATTTGCTATACTCCACCGAATGTGAATCAATGCTGATTGGATGTTGTTTTATCTTTCATTCATTATCTTATTTTTCAAATAGTTTTGTAGTCATGGAAGATAATATTACACGCTTCTTTGTCCAAACATGTGCTATAGTGTACATATTTAAACTTTTTAAAAATACTGCAAAGAATGTTAAGAAAGGAGAGAAGAATGCCAATGGATTGAAAAATATGTTGTTATTAGGTTTGGCTTGGATGTGCGGTAATCGCATTGCTTCCTCATTTTATTCATGTCGAGAAGAGCAATACTGGTGTGCTCCATCAAATTTACTGAACTCTCCTACAGGAATCCATTGGTCCTATAAATGCCTTTCATTTGCATCCGTATTAATAGTATCTGTATTGCTTATATTAACGATACATCAAGATAATTTGAAATTTACTACCTTTGGCAAATTGTTGAAATGGAGTACTCCAATTTGTTCAATATGTATTATTGGTTACTGGTTGATCTTATCTTTACCAGAATCTATTTTAAAGTCATTACTACCGTGGCAGCATGTAATCTTACCTCGAATAGTCTACGCTGTTGTAATTATTACAGTAATAACTTTATTATCTAAATCTATGATGAAAACGATTGCAAAGGTTAACCTTAGTAAAGGGTTACAACTAGATAAACTAGAAATAACAATGAAGTTACTCCTTTTAACACTATCTTTACCGTTAATGATGCTGCTAGGCTGTGGGTTAGCACCATCGTTACTACTTTGCCTATTTGGTATTACTTGCTTTCTAGCTCTAAGTAATTTTTGCCGTTTATTATCAATGCAAGACAATTCAGGTATACTCCAGTAATCAACTAGCTAATTTATAGTACATTTAGGATGTATAGTACTATACTGTACACGTTATGATATAAAATTGATAAATTTTTATAGGTGTGATCATGATTCGGGTAAAAATGCCTCTGTCGACAGTAACAAATATGTAATTGCATTCAATATGATTTATATCTTTAGGTTCTGTGATGTCATGTTGGACACAAATACTTACCTGGGAAATCCTATGTTCACAATCCTATTTTATTACTGGTCACCAAAATGCAATTATTACAATAAGATGGGCTGCTGCATTTACTGGTCTTCATGGTGATTCTAATAGCTATGCTTTGCTTGGTTTATTGGTCCTTTTAAATACATACGCAGCTCAGATTATATTTGGCCTTTGTGTAACTCTATTAGTGCCTATGATTCGATATCCTGAGTTATGGAAAAAGTACCGTAAAGGCGTGAATAGAGAAATTATTTGTTATAGTTCATTCTTTGAGATTGTTGTTTATTTCATTTTATTTTGTGGTATAAAAGTATTTTCAGCCGCAATCGCTGCTGCAGTATTGCGTCGCCATTTGATGGCATGGAAAATATTTGCTCCGCGACTCTTATTTGAAGTCTCTTCGTTTATTATTACTTCGCTATCTGCACTTGTTGGATATTTGATTGGTTATAGATTTGTTAGCTTACACGAAGATGACAAATGTAACATTAGAAGCTCTTAATTGAGCTGATTTCATTCCGACCTGAAATTTAATTCTACCTGGTAAACTAGGAATGTAAGAAAAACGTTATTTTTAATAAAAAAATTGTTGATCTAGTTAAACTAGAAATCTGTAAGTTTTGTAAAATTTTTAATTCAATACTTTGACAAAAATTTAGTCGTTACATAGTTACTTCCATCGTATTGACTGTAAATAAAACGAATTATACGTGTAATGGATTTGATACAATTTACTTCCTTGTTTATTAGTAAGATATTTTTAACTTTAGCTGGTCTAGCAGCGGATGACTTGATGGGTGAGCTCTAAACTTCTGACCGTTTTATATATTTACAGTGATAGAGAAACTTACATGCAATTATAATCAGATTTAACTAATAATAGTAATAAGTAGACTTTTGTTGTAGAGTCGTTGATATATTATTATAGTGTTGAGTAAATACGCACTTCAGCTTTCGAAAATTATTTTCTCATACAACAATGATGCGACGTTGTCATTGAAATATGATACGATATTGTTTGACTTTTTGTTGTATCTACCTTCTGACCTAGTAACAACTCCATCAGGATTGATTGACCTTTATCTCTAAAGATGCTGCATTATGATTTATGCAGTTTATAAGCAATATATTGCTGCAGCAGCAAAGAATAACCTATTCCTTGTCAAGGACTACTACATACATTCTTCTGTAATAATTATATAAATAGAAACTATCATTTTCAATCACCAAAGAATTTTTTTGGAATATTTCCTGGCTGGGTGATCATAGAGTTAATTTCGAAATAGAAAAGCTGCTGGGATACTAAGGCATTCCTGAACACTGAATGTGTTAGGAATGATATCCAATCTAGATACTGTAGATTGAATATTTGTCCATTCCATCTAGAATATATTTTACTAATTGTAAGTAATAGAAAATAGACAATTTTCCATATACAATATATGTATATTTTCATTTATTGATAAAGGTATAATATGCCAAAGTAGGCCTGCTATTATTTGAAAGGGTAGAATTTAAAACACTTTACAGACCTACATAAAACGGCATGGCATATATTCTAAGAAAGAAAAGGACAGTGTCGAAACTTTACATAACATAATTAGAGTATTATAAAGATTAGCCAAAGGATGTTGATATTTAAACAAGTAGATAGCTGCTATATTATTCAATCACGAAGTGAACAAAAGTCAGTAAAAACTCGAAGTATACGTGAATCCGTCTCGGAAGTGAAAAGTAACTGTTCTAGTGTTTCCTTGTATGAAAATACTTCTTCATAATACTATAATATAAGAAGAAAATTGATTAAAAAAAGAGCATTTACGAGTACTGTATATACCGTACGCAACAATAACCATAATTCTATTAGTACATTTACCATATGCATCACTTCCTTCAGCTTTTCCAGGGCGAAGCTTAACCATGGACTACTTTGATCTTGCTCTCGACGATACAGATGATCATTTAGTATGATAATAAATCGCTAAAAACAGACAAAGAGATAGTAAAAATCTTAATGAAGCTTACTCCAATGATGATTTGCTGTATATCATTGTCTTACAAATTATGCAAGGCACTGTATTACCTGGAATAAGATTAAAAATACTTCTTTTTGCTTTTGATAAGCGTTATACACTTCATCTGATAGATTATCCACAGCATTAGATAGTTTTGATCTTTCTTCATCAGTGGTATCCTCTGAATTCTGTAATATTAGTATGAATATATATCGTATTAGCAATAAAACACCAGATTGATTAAATGAAAGTATTTTTGCAGGACAAACCGAACAAGCACTAAATTTTTCTTTTACATCCTGCAGTTCTCTTTTGGCCTTTGAATCATGAAACATCATTTATTAATTAATATACGCGTACACGTATACAATTATTATTAAAGCGTGAAAGCAGATATGCAAACTTGGATTTAGAAAGATTGGGATGCACTTACAATACGCAATCGTTTACTACATTTTCGTAAGCAATGATGTACGATATTCCATACAAAGAATCTAAAGAATAAATCATTTTAAATATATAGATAGAATAACTTTAGACAACAGAAAATCTAGGCAAATACAAGCTATGAAGTGGTTAAGTATATTGTGCAATATAACCTTTGAAAACTGCCTAACATATCCCGTGAAAGAAGCCAATTAATGACTGAAGATGGTTCAATAATTTCAAGTCGTAGCATTTTGTCTAAAAGTAACTCTAAAATCTTATCATAAATAGATAAAAACAAAAGTGTTCAATTAAAATTTAAGGTTTAACTGAATATTATTTAGCCTTAACATAATTTTGTTATCATACAATTCGTAGTATTGATATATGAAGTACCTGTATATTACGTTCCCAAACGCTAAACATAGAATTTAAACATATTATTTGCTCGTCACCACCCTTGATGATAGCTTTAAATACTGTCTTAAATCTATGATTTATAAGAAATTAATTTCCTTTAATATTAATAGGTAGATAGAGAATTTAGTGCTGTCATTAATAATCACTTTATCTATTCATTTTGTGGTGTATATTCAATACGTTTCTATACATTAAGCATACTTTGTAATTCCGCTTGTAGCATGGCTAATAGACTTTTGTCCAATGGATAGTACGCATTGTACTAACACCTCTGCAGCAGTCTTCGCATATTCATCTACAAATGATTAAAGATTTTTAACTGCTAAAATTCGAACAATTTTACAGTACTCTGTAATATTTCAGCTGTTTGCCTTGGCTCAATTCAGACTATCATAGGCAAGATTAGATTCTTTGTATAGTAAGCGATAATAATAAAGTTTTATACCTACAATAAATATAAATACCTTCATTATCAGCAAATAAACTTGTTTTTGCGCTCTCTAAAACTTCAATAACTTCCTCTGGCGATTTCTTGGCCTTGAATGCTGTAAATAATTGCTGAGCTAGATTTACAGCAGGATCCGTTGATTCTACGAACGCGTATATATAGGAGACAATATGTCTTATAATAACGTAATATTTTCTCCATAAGTATATATTTGAAAAATTATTAGCTTTTTGTAATCACCAGCATCTGATCTTTCAAATTTGCACTTCGGCGAGGGTTCAGGGGGTAATAATTGAACAAGAGGCTCAGTGATAATTTCAACGATACGGTCGAAATATGCTAGCCTAAAGATCGCAATGCAACAAACGTTAAAATGAAATTGTTTTCGAGTTACAACTGCTAAGTACTAAAGATGGAAATTTAATATCGATCTACTTACCGTACACATTTTTCTAAAACTTCACTAACGAATCTCCGTTTCGGGGATGATTCTTGGTTTAAGCAGTCCTCCCTAATATCGCGTTTGTAAGGGTTTTAAAGCATCAGTATCTTTCAAATTTTAAGATAAGGATAAAATATTATCGAACTATTGTTAACTTACCAATCGTTCCAACTCCATTTATATTGAAAGTTACTAAGATGATATGAAAACCAGCTAGCAAATCTGTCATATCAATAATTCATGGAGTCAATCTTACTAATATTAATCAAAAATAACTACTAAATCAACATTTACGGATTGCAGTAATAAAGGTGAAATTAAAAGCGTAGATTGTTTCATTATCTAAAAAAGTGTATTTAAAGATGTACCGATGCACACAGGTAACATTCATGATGTCAACACGATCATATAGGATCCCTGTTGCTTCAGCAAGCTAAATGGTAAACAAATATTATTATTATTATTCGTAATTATATGCTGTAAATTTCTATTAATAATTTTGACAAAATTAACATCATAAATGTAATTGGAAGATATAGCTTAAAAATCAGGTAGCATACCACTTTGGGGACAACGGTTGGCTCTGACTTGCATAATTCTATTAATAAAGAACTAGTGAAAAGCTCTGGAAATACTGATTTCGGAAGAGTGAATAGATCACTAAAAATGGTCTGCAATTAACAACATTGAGAGTTTTTATAGGTGCGATTGAATATTTTACGATTTGTAATCATATATGCGTATGCTCTGTTACCTCGATAATAGTATCATATAATGACAGTCTGGATCTGCTAGGAAGAGACAAAAGGCGAGAAGCACTACAACAGAATAAATGTTACAGTATTAAAGACATTGATTACAATTTACGATATGAATCTATGCAAAATATGATATCTCTCTTGGTATAAGTAATTAATTAATAGAGATTATTGAAATATTTGTTACATCTAACCATTCTTTACGATTTTTATACATGGATTTCATTATAGTACGGATAGATTCTTCCATTATGTATCTCTCGACGCAATGAACAGTTTCACTCTTTAAAGAATTGGTATTACATGAGTAGTGTTGAATAAATAAACTTTTATCTATCTAGTTTCTTTATTACCTCTGCTTCTTGTTTAATAAGCCTAAAAGTAACTTTTGGCAACGGGTAGATCACATCATCGTCATGGTGCGGTATTGTTACTATTGGAAATGTATGCTAAAATAGATAGATAATGTATAACATTAATTTATTAACCAAAGATATCGATAGCTATTGTAAATTTTATTTTTTATGAAAGTAGTAGGATTTTGCTTAGATTGTACAGTCAGAATTGTCTAAGTCTTACATCAAAGGCATTGACCAATATATCATCGAAAGCACGGTAAGGTCGATGTAGGTAACGTTCCTGAAAGAGAATATATTGTTGATAACAGGGAAGAGTCTTATTAGATGCAAGGTAGATAAGAATTACCTTCCACCCATTTGATTTTAAATCCTTTATTTGTTGCCATAAGCAGTCTAGATACTAAATTTAAGAATGAAATTGATCTTATAGGATTAGCAGGACAAATAATTTACAGATGAGGACAGGATAAGAATTTAACTAACATCTTCTTGGGGTGGATAGATTTTTTCCTTCCAGGTATACAATGATGACAGGTATGGTTTTTTCCTACGTCTAGATTAATACATTAAGATAATTTACACACTATGGTACAGTCTAGAGGGATAATTCAGCATCAATCCAATTGTAGTGAAGTGGAACCGCCCCTTACTTGATATAACTGTCTATACTCGACATTAAATTCGCCAAATCTTCTCCTTTCTCTTTAAATAGTTGTCTGCCAACCTGGTATTGTAATGATTTTGTATCATTGATCCAGCATGTTTTAAGTTGTAAGATTAATTCAATGTCAGACTGTAACTTACCCATGGTAAAGCAGAAAGCACTGCATACACGAACCAGTCAGATCGGGCCTATAAGGAAATGAATTTAGTGTACAAGGTGTAACGTTAAAGTACTTACAGTTGCTCTAATTTGTAGTTCTTAACTATATAAGTAACTGATAAAAAAAGGAAACTTTTTATTCAGCTATGGGATACCTGCGGAATGTCAGGTTCCTTAGTAACACCAACAAAACTGCTAAACATGATCATGATAGGAGTTGATGATATGACATGAGCATTGACCATATCTGCTAAAAGGCGTACCTTTTAAACATAAAGAGATAAAGTTTATTTAATTTTAAGCTAATGAGCATCTCAAACAATCTCTAACTATACACCGTAATATTTTTATATCGTGCAGAAGTAGATTTAGCGCTTTAGAGATTAGATTCACTATGCAAAAATAATATAATTGTAAAACAATAGCATATAAGATGACGGCGGTTACCTTTATTAGAGCTGGTTCAAATTGGCCTTTCATTAGATCTTGCTCAAGATTTGCAACAGCCATGTTAACAAACTAGCGGGATCAATCATAATTATTTAACTTTGTTGTTAAAGTTCTACGCATTTTGTTTTTTATGTAGAAGTTACTTATGTAGTATAGTATGTTAGCCATACGTGGTATATCTTTTACATTATGAATATAATGTGTCGGGTACATAATACTATTTATTCATTTACCTCTTCACCAGATTTATAATTCTTAGCATTTAAGAGGCCAATAAGAGTGGAATAAATGGATACTTTGAAAGGTAGCAACGTTACACTGTCAATATGAAGAAAAAGAGAACAAAAGGATTTCGGTAATGAGTATTAGTTTCAACGTTCTAATTGATAGATTAACAAGCCGAACTATTTAATCATATCTACAACCAATAAGGAAGAAACATATAAGAATACGATATTTTAATTTTTGTTACATTAATATAGCTGCAGTGTAGTAAACATGAAGACTAATTTAATAATAAGTGGTATTTTAATTTTCTACGTCGTACTCAGTAGTAGAAGAATAATATGAACATATAAAGCAAGCATCAAAAATATCACGATAATGTAGAATTATTTATGAAACATTAGGCTTAGTTTTATATGACCAAGATGTAAGCTCGTATTGAATGCAATTTCTTACCTGTTGTACAAAGTATCGAGAATTTTTTGCTTATAATTAGGTATATCTGCTTGTAGTACGCCAGCAAGTTTTTCTAAATTCGTTTCTAATGACGAACTACTCTGTAAAATTGAATTGATATTAGTGCAATTTGCAAGTAAGAACGATGTAACGTTATGAACCGTATCAATTTTGTATAATGTTATATTTCATTTCTGCAGGATTGTGTTACAAGATGCAAAGTATTTACGATATATTTTGTAGTGGCTTCAATTACCTAAAATAAACTGATGGAGATAATGATATTGCAAACCGTGATCAAAAAGCGTACAAATGTTTTTTGGTGGCTTTAATCCATGTTAATAAACTATGCATTACTATAAGTGTACTGTTTAGCTAATTAAAACGCGGCGAAATATAAATTTCAAGTTGATGGTTTCAATTGTCTATTCTTAAATATACCCACCATGATACGGATGATTGCTTTATATATTATCATAGCATACTAATATATACAACGAGTACAGTATAGGACGCATAAACATATTTACTATTGTTTTGCGGTCTGTAATAATAATAATAATTATAATACCCTGTTCATAATAACATCCAGTATATACAGATAGTCTATCATAAATTTGATGAAAGTGTACTTTAGTGATTAAGGAGGCAAAATGGTTTGAATAAATTATGGTTTTGCAATGCAGCTCGATATTCCATCTTCATGCTTTAGTGTACAATTACGGATTAAAATTGTTGATATTACAGACATTATAACAAGAGAGCAACTATGATGTAAAGATTGATTTTTATAGACTTACTTTTTCTCCAACGCGAAATATCAAAGACTCTAATCTGTCTTCAATTTGCTTGGGTTCATTGTTGCTTCTGCGAAATCGTTTAGCTTGCCTATGATCTAATTGATATTTAATGATCCGGTTGAGTATTTCGAAAAACAACACCATTGCCAAGAGGCACAATTAATCTAATGAAATATTATAATGACTACTACTTTTATTTGACAATCACAATCGGTTAGAAAGATGATTACGATCAAATAGAAACAGATAAGTGGGGATGCTGCTTCTGTATGCTTCATCTTGATTATCTTGTAGCTCATTCAAGAATAATAATAATTAAGCGATATGCATGATTCCTTTTTTAATATTTAGTACCCTGTGATTCATTGTAGATCAATGATGATTAAATAGCAGACTACGTGTAAGCGTGATTTCTCTGGATATGTCGTACATCTAGCCATGCAATATGCATGTTTGCTATTGTGTGATTGATTGCAGACCAATGATACCTAAACTCTATCTGTGATTTCTTAGGACTGTAGTATCATACTATTTATGTTTCCTATTCGTTCTCCCGTATTTCATCCAAGATCAGTAATAATACTTACAGTAGATGTGTGACTTGTTCTGACTCAATTGTATATAATTCTATCCGTGGATATTCGATTAGTTATCCTTAAATTCATACAAGATCAATGACAATAATTAATGATACGAGTGATTTTCTTTCGACATGTTGAATCTTTATCCATGCTTGTACGCGTATCATTTATCTTACTGTAGGGAAAGTTTCAGATTAATGATGTTTGGCTTACTGTGCACGGATACGCTGTATTTCTATCTATGCTTACTAAAATCATCGATGTCTTGATTACATGAGCACTTTCTTTTGGACCTATTGCATCTCTATCCGTGTTTCTTATTTGTTATTCTGTGATTCGTTCTAGGTCAATGATACGTATCTCGACTACATGAATCATTTCTTTTGGAAATGTTGCATCTTTCTCCATGCTTACCGTTATGCTATGATTGATTCAAGGTTAATGATATCTAAATTACAGTAGATGAATCATTTCTTTTGGATGTATTGCATCTTTCTCTATGCTCACTATTATCCCATGATTCATTCAAGGTTAATGATATCTAAATTACAGTAGATGAATCATTTCTTTTGGACATGTTGCATCTTTCTCCATGCTTACTGTTATGCTATGATTCATTCAAGGTTAATGATATCTAAATTACAGTAGATGAATCATTTCTTTTGGATGTATTGCATCTTTCTCCATGCTCACTGTTATGCTATGATTTCATGGTTAATGATATCTAAATTACAGTAGATAAATCATTTCTTTTGGACATGTTGCATCTTTCTCCATGCTTACTGTTATGCTATGATTCATTCAAGGTTAAGGATATCTAAATGACATAAGATGAATCGTTTCTTTGGATGTATTGCATCTTTACCCATGCTAGCTATTATCCTGTGATTCATTGAAAGCTAATGATATCTTAACTACAGTACATAAATCCTATTTGTTTTCGATCTATTGCATGTCCATGCATTATATACGTAAGTCATTCTACTATTGATTTAAAGCTTTGTTGAGCTGACCAATGCTCTTTCAATTCGATCAATAACTAGGTTTTCTTCTTCAAGCAACCTTCTCATGAAATCAATCACTGTATTGGATGGTTGCTATCGTATTCAGTATAAACTATTTGGCATAATTTATCATTGGCTTACCAAAGACATTGCAATACAACGAGACTAGTGTGAATTTTTATCCTTCTACAAGTCCTACTGTCTACTTTCAATCATCACTACACAGAGAGCGATATCGTAGATTACTGCATGTAGGCCATTCAGCAATCCATGCTGACACCTATCATAATGATGGAATTGTATATCTTGTTGTCAATTCTTACCATATTCATCATCGGAATCGTGATATCGTCGACGCGACATGATGAAACTTCAATGAAGAGTAGCGCAATCTTTCAAAATGTTCAATCAACGCTGAATGAGCTTATGGTAGTAGGCAATAATATTGGCTTTGTGTTGTTACTTTATTCACCAATGTCGATCCTTTTTTAATACTGTTGTCGTTGAATAGCTCCTTTTGGGGTGGAGGAAAGTGAGAATTTTTCTTTTAGCCAGACATGGAAAGATGGAGGAGAAAAATGGAAGGAGAATCCTTTGCCAGCTAGGTCGATGATACCGTTGTGCTCTTCAACTGCACATCGAGTGACTTGAGTGAGAGTACGTACTCCAATCGCACGTCACTAGTCCAGCGTATCATTGACCAAGTTACACATCCGCGCGGTCGGTATTGTTTCGAAGATGGCTTGGATGGCATTGTCAGCTTTGCGCATGTTCAAGCCATGCGACGCTGTCTGATACTGGATTTGGCTAAACTCATCCAGTAATTAGTACCAGCTATTTGTACAGTATAGTAGTAGTACTGTAGTACCCGTACGTACTCCGGTCAAGTGGCTTGGATGACATTGTCAGCTTTGCGCATGTTCAAGCGATGCGAAGCTGCCCATGAATTTCACTAAACTCATCCAGTACTAGTACTAGCTATTTGTACAGCATAGTAGTAGTAGTACAGTACGTACCCGGGTCAAGTGGCTTGGATAGCATTGTCAGCTTTGCGCATGTTCAAACGTAGCGACGCTGCCTGATACTGGATTTGGCTAAACTCACCCGCTAGTACTAGCCATTCATACAGTGTAGTGGTAGTAGTCAGGTCTAGGTAGTAGTACTCGACGGACCCCGGTCTAGTGGCTTGGATGGCATGGTGAGCTTTGCGCATGTTCAAACGCTGTCTGATACTGGATTTGGCTAAACTCATCCAGTACTGTACTTACTACTAGCCATTTGTACAGTACAGTACAGTATACTGGACTACTGGAGTATAGTAGTAGACTAGTAGCACTGGACGTGCCCCGGTCTCAAGTCATGTGGTCTCACGCACTGAGGTAAAAAAATGGTCATCTGACCGCGAGGTGATTTACTGTTTTGTTTCCACGTAGTGCCAAAACAAAATAATGATATAATAATCTAGCCTGGACAGGGATTTTTTCCCTCGTATACATCGATTAGAGTCATTCGTGTTGATACTTGGATAATTACTTCAGCAGTACTCTCACATTTCTTGCTGTTCGTACTAGTACTATCGGTTGATCAGTAAGAAATGTGAGAGTAACAGACAGACTGAGACATTGAGCATGGACTACGGGAAGCAAAGATTTTTCTTGGAGTAGTCAATGGCTTCGATAGTATTCCCTGTAGACAAAGTGTACAAGTCGACGTGTCGAAAATACTGCCAAGTTCTACAGCATACATGGACTATAGCCCGTAGGACAGTCGTATATGGATACAGTCGATTTTATGCCTATCATATAGGGGAGTTGTACTGTATATCCATGTTGATCGCAATGTTGTCTTCAATGCTGCTTTCACAATCCATTCCATTGTCTTGCAGTCGCTTTCAACACTGCTACGCAGATTCCCCAAGTTGTGGTAAACAAGTTGAAAACAACAGCAGCCCGATGTCCACTTGTACAGTACAGTACTGTGTGAATCCAGTACATGGTACTGTAGAGAAGGGAGAGTGCAGTACAGTACTACAGTATGAAGCGTATCTACAGTACATGGTAGTGTAGATACGCTTCCGACTTGTGGGTTGATCCGACTGTGTTTGAACTCAGGCGTAGGGTGAAGAGTGGATGCGAACGATGCATTTGCAAAGGGTGAATCCTCTGGGTTGATACGACTGTGTCTGAACTCAGGCGTAGGGTGAATTTCAGGGTGCCAAAGATGTACAGTATTTGCAAAGGGTGAATCCTCTCAGCGTTGACGCATGCACTTCTGACTTTTGGGTTAATACGGCTGTGTCTGAACTCCGGCGTAGGGTGAAGACAGGGTGCGAATGATGCATTGCAAAGGGTGAATCCTCTCAGCGTTGATGGATGCACTACTGACTTTTGGGTTGATACGACTGTGTCTGAAACTTAGGCGTAGGGTGAACTTCACCCGGTGAGGACAGGGTGCGAACGATGCATTTGCAAAGGGGTGAATCGTCTCAGCGTTGACGCATGCACTTCTGACTTTTGGGGTGATACGACTGTGTCTGAACTCAGCCGGAGGGTGAAGAGTGGGTGCAAACGATGCATTTGCAAAGGGTGAATCCTCTCAGCATTGACGCATGCACTTCTGACTTTTGGGTTGATACGGCTGTGTCTGAACTCAGGCACTCACTGCGAATGATGCATTTGCAATGGGTGAATCGTCTCAGCGTTGACGCATGCACTTCCGACTTTTGGGGTGATACGACTGTGTCTGAACTCAGGCGTAGGGTGAAGACAAAGGTGCGAACGATGTATTTGCCAAGGGTGAATCCTCTCAGCGTTGACGCATGCACCGCGGACGAGACCATGCAGTGGTCCAATGACCACCTTGTCTGATCGTCACGTGGTGAAGCCTGTCAATATTTGCCTTACCGTCGTAACTCTATAGTGAACCTACACGACAGGATCGGCATGGGGCCAGGGGGGGGACTTGTGGCCTACCCTGTGTACTGGGACTCCACTCTCAACTGGGTCGCAACTCTATAGTGAGCCTAGTAGACAGGATCAGTATGGGGCCAGGGCGAGTTGTGGCCTACCCTGTGTACTGGGACTGGACACCAGTCATTGGAAAGGGGATCCTTGTCCAGACCATTAGCACTACTATTATTGGCGCTGTTGACTTGGACTGGGTCGCATTTTTTCTCCCTTCTTGCCTCCATCATCGGTTGGAGGATCGAAAAAATTTCATCAACACCATTTTATTTCATTGATTGCCTGTCTACACGATCATCTCAACTACGACGATCATGTTTGAAGAAGAGAATCGCAGCCTGAGTGAGAGCGATGATGATTCTGCCGATGCACCGATTGCACCCACCATGCAAGGCACACTAAGCAAATGGACCAATTACATTCATGGCTGGCAAGACCGATGGTTTATTTTACGTGATGGAACTTTAGCCTATTTTAAATCAGAAAGTGAATTATCAATCGGTTGTCGAGGATCGATCAGTATTCGATCTGCTGCTGTCGAGGTAAGACTACAGCATGGCTCCATGCTATCTTCTACCACCCATTCATAACTTGCAATTTTTTCTTGGGGAGGGATTTGCCTGAAATGCGATCCAACCGAGATTGCAGCTTCGATAGGGATCAATCGATAGTTTTGACATAGACTCGTCCACCTTGCTCTCTCTCATCAGTCGATAGTTTTGACATAGACTCGTCCACCTTGCTCTGATCAATCGATAGTTTTGACATAGACTCGTCCACCTTGCTCTCTGATCAATCGATAGTTTTAACATAGACTCGTCCACCTTGCTCTCTGATCAATCGATAGTTTTGACATAGACTCGTCCACCTTGCTCTCTCTCATCAGTCGATAGTTTTGACATAGACTCGTCCACCTTGCTCTGATCAATCGATAGTTTTGACATAGACTCGTCCACCTTGCTCTCTGATCAATCGATAGCTTTGACATAGACTCGTCCACCTTGCTCTCTGATCAATCGATAGTGTTGACATAGACTCGTCCACCTTGCTCTCTCTCATCAATCGATTGCTTTGACATAAACTCGTCCACCTCGCTCTCTCTCTTACCCTTTTTGAAAAGCCTTGACTCCATTTTTCAATAACCATCGTTGCAACTACTTTATCATTGTATGCCTTGAAAGGACTAGAGTTGCTTTGTGTCAGTTGAAATGATGTATTCTGATTTACTATCCTTGAGGGATAACATGAGATCAATTGGACGCGTAGATTGAAAACATGCAAGCCTTGCCTAAAACAATCTTCTCCATTGGTATGGTTGGAAATTGGTTTTTTTCTTCACTGTTGTCATTGATTTAGAGGGATAGTTTAGACTCTTGCAAATCTACTATTCTAGAGTTATGAGGATAGCACCTTGAAGCTGTATCCGTTTGCATACCTGATCATGTTTCCTTTACTTTCTACTGGATCGATTGAAAATGACTTGATCATCATCTCCACATTGTTGACCGACCTAATATAGTCCTTCTCGCCTCCAATCATTCCAGTAAGTCATGACTCAAGCCATATGGCTGCTCTAACATAGATTCCAACTTGTATTAAATTGTATAACTGCAGCATGAATCATCTATTTTGTATCGAGGATAAATAAAAACAATAGTACGTATACAAACGACAATTATCCAATATGGATGCTATTGGTTGCAATAGCATTTTAACTGTTGTTGCAATAAGTTGGCTATGTCATGATTTATTGATGATGTCGTCCGCAAAATCTCTATCGTAAAGCATCACTCTATACCTATTTCCACTGCTAGTCATGACTATTGCATCCGTACGTTTTATCTTTATCCATTAGCAAAGAATCACAGCGTAAAATGTTCCCTATTCAATCTTGAGTGAGCGTCAAAATGGCCGCGCCACCTTGGCCATACACTAGAGTAGAGACGTCCTTGTCAAACGCAATATTCAACTCATCGTCTAGCATCATCAAAGCTCAATTTATTCACATTGCAAGAAAAATGATAATTCAATCCTAGCGTGGTATTCACCAACAAGACAAGATGATCACTTTACAGTATTATTGCCCATGTTTTCTTTGCACTCCTATTGATTATTACTCTTCCTTCTATACAATTATCATGATCGGATTAATGATGACATTATAGTGCAATCATTTGCATTGCTGATAATAATGGCTATCATTAATCAACAATTTTCCTATCCTGTAGTCCTTTCTTAAGTCACAACTACGCGTATCGACTAATAATGTCATAAATGATCGACTATGCAAATGCTGTTGATGATCCATTTCTACTATCTATTCTTCTCCATGGTCAAGGTTGCCTGGAGTTGATCCAACATTGCACAGTACGTGTAGGATTTGAAATTTTATCCAACTAGAAAGGCAGTTGGAACTCCTACACCTACTATTTCACTCGATTGATGATCGAGTGAAATTATTACTGATAGTTCAAGGGAGCGCGATAGTAGTAAAATCAACCAAGGATAGAAGGGAAATACTATTCCCAATCAGGCTATTTTTGGGTCTGTATTTTGCCGACGGTCAATTTTCCTCCCCAATTCATTATACTTGTACAAGTCAATGGAGTTTTTTTTTTTATTCTGTTGAAGACGACTTGCATGGCATCTTCATTGGCTTTAACCTTCATGTCTTGTCCAACATAAACGAGTCATGCTTAACTACGATTCGATATATCAAATTCAGTGAATGCCTTTCCTCGTCTATCGATAGTACTATCGAGCTCTACATCGTATCTAGCAATACCGTCCATTTTCAATCTGTCGTCATTGCAATCTTGAATATTGGATCATCGTATCCAATATATCAAAGTAACTCTCTTCTTTCATCTTATCCTTTATGGGTATAATCAATTGAAGCCATAACATACAATCCAAATCTTGTCTATCTTCGACATGATTGAAATAACTAGTTTTGAATTCTATTTATGATTACATTACGGACGGCAATGGATGTCATCAAAATTAAAAAGATGATGCATAAATTTAATTTGGACTCCTCGTCATCATCATTTTCCTTACTGTTGCAATGACAAGACTCCAATCATTCTGATTTTTAATTTGCCCTTCTGTACTCGTCATCATTCAATCAATACTTGTCAAGTCTGTCGTCAATATTTTTACCTTGCAATTATTTTTCCTTTAATGACCGTATCGTTTTTTCTGATTTGTTGAGCAATATCCATATGGAAAAAAGGCGGAAAAACTATTCTACGCCTATATAGCACACTCGCGCTAATCTTTCTCAAGGCCAAGCATGATATCGCAGTCGAATGATAATCCTTCATGACATGATTGTAAATCCCTTGCTATGATAAAATAAGGAGAAATGTTAAAAGGCAGATGCAGATCGATTTTCATAAAAGGGCTTAACACTTGCTTGTAGACAACGCTGGATATTATTATATGTAGAACGACATTAGACAATATTCGTCGACTGAAATAGTATAGTCCATTTTAGGGGAAATAAATTGATCTATTCAAAGCAAACGTCCACGACTAGAATACTTAATGACAAGTTTTTGACCGTTATCCACCCCAAACTAACTACTTCAGAATGGATATTCTATGCTGGCTTTAAACTTTGCAAATTGGATTAGCCATGGCCAAGAATAACATAACGCCGTTAAAAAGATACCTTTTATCATATGATTAGTCTAGGAATAATCCGTTTTCAATAGCCATATACATTATTGATGTTTATTCTATTCTAGTGGAACCATTTCATGATTGGCCAGTCTTTTAATTGAAAAATAAAGATCGATCAAAATACCAAGTGTGAATATTTTTAGACTGTAAACTACGCGATTGGAGAATTGATTTCCTGATACAACATAGCTCGTCAATGACTTTTAATAGCGAAAAAGAATAGTGAATTAGACTTGATCTCCATTTTTTTCTATCGAATTTCATTCTTTTCTTCTATTCCTCTATCCAAAAATGAAGTTTTAATTATCAAATAATTAAGGCAATACCACCACGTATTCTACTCCGGAAGTTACAATCCTCTACCTAATACCATTAAATATATTGCTTTTGTTATCCAATTATTTGACTAATAGACTTTATAAAGAAAGATGGACTAAAAAATACTCAATAATGCATGCATATTCATGGTGAATCCCTCATACTGTATACTATCGATTAAAGGTCGATTTTTCAGTTGCTGAAGGTTAAAATTTTACGGTAATCCTGTATACGAAGGACATAAACCGCCTAGCCAATACTTGCAATTTTCGTTGTCAAGAAAGTATGCGATTTAATTAAGAAAAAATAACACTATCCTGTACATCAGACAACTATTATTTAAACATTTTCCAACATAGGGAGAACTAAATTTATCTGATATTTCCAAAGTTATAAGTTTACCAATGACTGAGTGCGGCTAATAAATTGTTAAAGTAGAACATGCTTTAATGATTTTGATAGTTTACTTTTACAAAAAGAAGGAGTAGGTTAAAATCCATGGATTATGAATTCGATAAAAGAGGTGATCAAAAACAGGCATGACTTGACGATGGAGATATTTATCAACACTTATCGTTAGTGAAGTAGCCTTTAATAAATATCTACGATAGTACTACTTTGTAATGGCTAAAAGAGGATGCAAAAAAAAGTCAATAAACCGTACAGTATTACACTTGTCGACTTGAATGGGTTAGATTGACAATTTCAATAGTATGCTACATTAATAAATTGGTCGTAAACCGCTCAATTAGTCGTCAAGCAAGAGCAATGGGTGTGCTTGTGACGGATATTCATGCCTAATGTTATTGCTTTTTTATCTACTTGTCACGCCATGTTAACTATCGCACAACTATTTCAATTCCTTATGTCTGATCTTGGCTTTTAGCTACTTGTCTTATATGCTGAATGATTGCCATTTTTCCCTCTATGGCTATCACGACAGTTTCAATTCCTCACATTTAATCTCCTTTTAATCTACTTTATCTCACCACGTTAAAGTACTACGATATCATTTCAATCCCTCGTCTCTAATCTTCATGCTTGTTTTTTATCAATTTATCTTCCTATCATAGTGTCATGAATTCGATGACTGCCGATTTGATGTTAGCATTAGCGATCAAGTTTATTACTTACGTGCCAAAAGCAAGGAAGAAAGGCAGAGATGGATAGATGCCCTTGAAACTTCGAGAGTAAGTTTATTCACTGTTGGTATCGTTTTACGGTATATACATTATATAAAATTGATTAATGAATTATTATCAAAATGATATACGTCCGTGTATGGTATATTCAATACCTAAATAGGGTTTTGATTTTATCCCTCTAGTAGACGATAATGTATGTGGATATCATTCTTAAAGTTTAGACATCTTTGCTATTTAGAAAATAGATCAGTTAATATCTATCTTCAAAAAATTATAGTATGATTAAGCTGTTTGTTGTTATAACAATCATCGACCAATCTTATTTTTTATAAATAGATATAATAATGTTTACTCTTGAACATGGCCGCGTTAGCAAAAATAATGTTGGCTATGCATGTAATAAAATTGGAATCCAGTTGAATACTAACAGCACTATATTAAAAAATGAAAATGACAGTCACGTAGCCTACGCTTAATTTTAGCTTCGTTAGAAGTATCAGTCTAGCGAATCAGTTTCATCTAGACGTAAGAGCAATGATATACTTTTCAGGTTTAAAAATGCGACTATTGCTTAAATTAGATACTAGTTATATTAGGATTTCCAATGCTTGAACAGTCGATACGTTATAATCATCAGCTCTGTAATGATACTTATCATATATCCTTCTAATCCACATATTAGGAAGCTAGTCCTGATGTCGGTGAGACAAATTTAAGACGTCAAGGCTCAATGATGTCCATTAGCTCTTACACAAGTCTATCAACAGCTTCCACCTCATCTACAAAGGTACTGGTGTTGTTGTTATCCTTAACTGATAGAATACAATACTACGCAATTACTAACTGGTTAGGAGTTATTGCTAAAGGATTGAACTGGATTTAATTTTAGCGGGACAAAAATTTGAAAGAAAAACTTTTGGAAATGGAGACATATAGGGAAATTCTATGCCGGCAAGTGGATACTTTACAACGTTTCTTTGATAAATGCTCTGATGCCGTTGTTGAGGCAGAGCATAAAATTGAAGAGTTTAAAAGGAATGAACCGGACATGGCAGATTCTTTACGACCTCCTAGTGAAGACATTAGAAGTAACTAAAATGCGACAAAATCAATTTTGGAAATCATAGGATTGTCAAAATGATCATAGTCATGGTTAATGACTGTGTCAAACTAACTTTGTATTAATCATACCTTCATTAGTAGATGAAGCAGACTCTGGAGATGATGAGATAACAGAAGGAACAACTTTGTTACCTAAAACGCTATACAAATTATCACCTAGAAAATCAGCATCAAGAATAGCTACCTATACTACCTCCAGGATATCATCGTTAATAAATTTTACTAGGGTAAATGTTATGTAATATACTAAATAAACCATTGTATTACAAGTAAGACAATTAATTAAGGAACCAATCTAACTAAATTTTTTTTATCCAACAAATTATTTTTACAGTTTTCTAGTAGTTATTCTACTTCTCCCGGTTCAAATAACATATCACAAGTGGCTAATAGTATTGATGAAAAAGAGAGAATCGATGCCATTACAGCACTTGAATTATTGAAATCGGGTATCGACTTTAAAGGGGAATCAATCACATTTAAAGCAACAACTGCTGGAATTTTAGCAACTTTATCGCACTGCATCGATTTAATGCTAACTAGAGAAGATAAATGGCGTAAACGCTTGGAACGGGTAAGCAATTGCTTTCATGAAAGGATTTCATGACTCCTTTTATTTGACAATACCGTATGTTGTAATACTAATAGCAGTTAATTTTTTGCAGGAAATGGAAAAAAGACGTAGGCTACAACAGGAGTACAAGCAGGTGCTTGAAGATGCGCGAAAGAGAGCTCTTGCTGCGGGTCCTGATTACCAGGTTAATCGTACGAATTTTCCTGCCTTTGTTAGCCTTGTGGCATTCTTTAATCTATTCCTATTGCATGATGTTTTGGGTGTGTTATTTTTTGAGTAGGAAGGTCCTAACTGTATGATGACCGATGAGGAATTTTTCGATGCTGTCGAAACTGCCCTAGATAAGGAAGGCACTGAGTTAAATGAGCAAGTATGTACAGTCTACCAAAAAGAAGTCGCAGTTATTCTTTAGGATTATGCACAACGTATTATTTGCATTTGATGAAACTTCTCTAATAGTTACTTGCTTTTTACTTAGAATGATATCGATTTTTACAATCCAGACGACTCCAAAGCCACTCTCATGAGAGAGGTTATCAAATTAATAGATGTTTACATGAAATGCTTATTGGCTTTACTAATAGATGGTAGAATTATTATGTCTGTGTAATTAACACATTTTTCTTGATTGTTTACTTCAGATGGATTCTAAAGTATCCGAATATGTAAGCTGTGTCCGTGAAGAAATTAATGAAGAATGGAATTTGGTTCATGAAGATAATGAAATGAAGGTAATAATTCTATTCGATAATCCTTTTCACCAAGTTTATAATGTACTACTAGTATATAAATAAAGCAAATTTATTGATTCTTGTTTAAATTTTTTTTAAGGTTTATAGACGTGAATTGGAGATAGACGGCGTAGCTTTGGATCCTTTACGCGCTCAACATATTGTCGATGTAAGATGCACTGTCCTAAACCGCAATGACAGCATACGTTTGGTTGCTAGCTTTATAAACATTATTAATTTTTTTCGATCTAGGGTGTCACTGGTCATGAAGTTTGTAATATATTTTTCGACAAGGATGTTAGGATGGAATGGGAAAGTAAGAAATTACGCTTAATAGCCACCAATTTTAATTATTACGCTTGTATGACTGATGTGATGACATTTTGAAATAATTTAATAGCAACCTTGGAGTCGACAAAGGTAATTGAAGAGATATCTCAAGATACGCTTGTTTTTCATCAACTTATTAAACGCGTATGGCCTACCGCACAACGTGATATGTGCTTCGCAAGTCATATGCGACCAGTTGTAAGATTAGAAAATGACAGCAACCCAACCGGCGTAGATCCTTGGATTGTCGTCAACTATTCTATTGATCACCCACTTGCTACGGTAATTGTCATATATATCATTTATAATCGCTAGTTATCTACTGAATTATTGACTTTTTTCAACGTCACCAGAACAAGAAATACGTCCGCGTTCAATTTACAGTTTGCATGTACTGCGAGACAATTATTCGAAAGACAGATTGTCCATTGGAGGAATTAACTCGTAATGATATCGCCAGTAGGATTGTATATATTGCTCATGGTAAGTAAAGGCTACAAAGGATGTGAGAGTTTTATTTTTTTATTCATCATAATATTAATTGTAGTCTTTACGATGTATGAATAGCGTTACTGCCGTATTTAGTTAAGCTGAAATTTTATAATATACATTTCTTTGTTTTATTACAGTGAACCCGGGTGGTTGGGCACCACCGGCTGTCGTTAGGGTTGTTACTAAAAGAGAGTATCCGAAATTTCTAAGAAAATTTAGTTCATATGTAGATAAGAAATTGCAAAATACTAAAATAGTGTGGTAAATTCATGTATAGTATCCAAGGTGATGACTCTGAATCCTCATACTGGGTAAGAAGTACTTTTTAGGGAATTTAATTGTAGAAAAAAAGTGACAATAATTTGTCTGCTACTGTATTTGCTTGTACGTTTATATCGTTAAGAGTAGCCTGAAGTACCTAAATCGTAAAATTGATGTGCATTTGTATTATAAAATACTAGAGCTCTTTATATTTACAAGTGCTGCGGAAGTATTGCAAGGCAGTACAGTACCCACAGTAAATGAGCGTAAATTTTGAATTTTTTCCTGCTATTTTAACTGATAAGCGCTGTACTGTATCTAAAATGTACTCTATACGGTTTCATAGGAAAGACTTATTTACCATCTTTATTAGCTTTTTTATTACGTCAACGACACATGCTTGCTTTTCTGTATATACATATAAAGATATATATATATATATATTTAATATATAAATGCACAAAAAAAACAGAAACTTCCTACGCAACTGTATAAATGTGTGACTATATAATTGACATAAATGCGCTGATTTGTTTGTTATTATTAACTTGATACGAGTATGTTTATGTTACAAATGACTTTAATTGTTTCTATATACTTTAAGCTATGACTTTGTCAATATCCTTATAAATTGCTCATTGTAAGTTATTCCATTTGCAATGAAATTAGGAATCATGCGTTTTAAATTATGTCGATGATGTATCATTAGTATTGAATGTTCAATCTACCATAAAAGCATCATTGACGATGTACATGCCTTTGTTATATTAATTTGCGCTTTGCACCATTCCTTATATCACAATTATAAATAGATCATTCACGAGCACTAAAATTCGCGCTTACATGCAAATCTCAATAATAATAAAGTGATCTTTGCGGTATAGGATTGTCTCGTAGTCATCTTTTGAAAGCTACTGTAATTGTAAGATACTGATATTTTGATTCTTGGCGCATCAGGAAAGTTGATATATACCTAATAATTATATACTTTCCTGACAATCACTAAATCCGTAGAATCGCCAGTATAAATCAACAAATTTACGAAAATAAACTGCACGCCAAAGCATTTGTTGCAATAGGATTGGCTTTAATGCGTTACTTTATAATGTCTTAAGCTGATAATACAACTGTTATTATTACTAGAAAGTTTAAAATGAAAGTGCTCGATAGCACTATTGAGAATTGGACGACAATACTATCTTACATACAGATGTACCATATGAAATTCGGTATATATCGATCGATAACATAATTTAACTAAAATAATTAGAGAATCCTGTAATATACTGTACTGTACACATTACCTCATAAATGAGTGATTATACCAGTTTTAAAGCTTTAATACAGAGAAACCGATTACTATGATTACCACCTAATCCTTTAGAATCTATACAGGATAATATTTTGTACAATGGCAGTAAATAATTATCATACAAAAGTCTAGGGGGGTTGAGGATAAAAAAATTTACAGTCATAACTGAAACGATGGTTACTGAGTCTGATTACTAGATGTGTAATGTCTCAATAAAATTTTCCATGCTTTTTCACTCATGAATCCATCAGGTAGTTTATTACCAGCCCGAGCTAATTGTCTCATTTTAGTTCCAGAGATGAAATTGTAATCGTCAGCATGATCGGGCTTATAAAAATCCATCTTTCTCTTGATTTTATTATAAGCAGCTACTCGAAATGGAATAATTTCTAGTTGAGTTAATCCAGGAGCCATCTGTAATACCTAAAATAAAATAAAATTATATATATAAATGAAATCATTTTAGGCTTACAGTTGAGTCAAAATTTAATTTCAGGCATAAGGCAATTTGTCTTGGTCTTAGTACCTTACTACCATGCGTTGTATGATATAAATCTTTCCCGGTAACTGGATGAGGGATACCTGCTGGATCTCTACCAACAATATAGAAATTAACTCCAGCCGCTATCCTTGCTTTTGCATGCCATTGAACCTATTGATTAAACAATACCGATTAGTAAAAGATACACATCACTACAAAAATGAAATAATTTTGTTACACAGGAAGCATACTTCCGTTGGTCCTGCATACATCATTGGAGAAGGAAAGATCGCTAAGATTGTCGAACTTTGATCAAGAATACCGTCTTCAATTACGGCTAAATGTTGCTTAATTCTGACTTCCAATGGAACGTCATCTGGCTTGGTAATTCCGCCTATAAGAGATATTGAATAGTTTATAGTATATTACTTGACAATTTACGGAAAGAGGAATATTACAATTGTTATCTTTTGATGAGCTAATTCGTTCACAAACCGATTGGATGTAGTAATAATACAGGGTGTTTGAATCCACGTTCCACCAATTGTCTCTTGGTATCAGAAATTAGTAAAGCATGACCGTTATGAAGAGGGTTTCGAAGTTGGAAGGCAAAAGCAGCATCAGCATCTAGTTCATAGAATTTCCTCCTTAATTCCATTGGCGTTAGGCGAAACTGATCAAGTCCATCATGCCAGCAAATTCTCTCCAATACTTGCAATTCACCACCTACTAGCCAATTCCCTGAATCGATGATTAACTAAGATTCCGATAACAACAATACAGTAAGCTGATAGAAAGCCTTGCAAATTACAAGTAGGATTTGCGCGATATTATTTGAATTGTGATAATTATATCTTTAATATTGAAGAACATGGATGTGAATTTTATTACCTTTACATAGGGATGTTCGGAAGAGTATGTTCCAAACTGTCGACAGCACCGTTCTTCAATACGGTGTTCAAAAAATTCAGGTTTAGATACTATTGCGACAGGTCGATTGTCATATATTAAGGTAAATCGCTCTTCATTTTGTAACCGTTGCTTGTTATCATCGTGTACAGGCAAAACAATTGGTATTGATTGGTTAGATACACCACCTACCCGAAATTAACGTCGTAAGATTGCTTAGAGATATATTCTTATGTTTATACATGTGTAAGTATTAATTAGTAAGAGAAATATATCATAAACTGACCATCTAATAAAATTCCAAAATGTAAGGCTTGTAAATACTCTTTCTCATTCATAAATCCCTTAAGAGGAGATGCCCAACCTTCAGACAAAACTTGAACCCACTGTAAATCGAGCTGTAAGATAAAGGTAAAGAAAGACCTATAAGTAATTTACTAATAGTAATTTAGTAAAACTCAAAAACTGAAATTTAATAGATCGATATATCGAATAAAAAATAAATAATAGCGAGATACTGATAGTAATCTTTAGCACGTACTTTGGTAATGTTTAATTTAGGCAATTTCCTTGCTATTTGTTTCATTTCTTCTACTTGATCTGGCTGCACAAAAAGCTCTCGTACCATATTTAGTGCAGAGAATGGTATAATGTTCTACACAAGATGATATAGCATGACAAAGAATTGACATTTTAATAAATCTAGGACAATAACAGTTTTAGTTTTAACTAGATAGAAATAATCAAAGATATGATGCAGTTATTCGTACGACCAACTTATTAATACTATAATTTTATATCTAACCTTTGCCTCTAAAAAATTGATAATTATATCAACGCATTGTTGAACTGACCACTCTCCCGCTTTTAAAACAATATCAGGATTGATAGGTATTTCATAAGGTGAATCTATGCCCGTAAAATCTGCAACAATAGTAAATTTTATACTATAAGTTAGTACACTTGGATGAAAAATTTTACTTACAAATATCCAGTAGTAATGGTATCTGAATTATTGCTGCACAATAGCTATACAATCAAGATTTTCCTATCGATTATAGACTTTGAACTTACGTAAATAACTATTTATCGTGGCATCATACGATAACTATATAGATACGTGTACCTTTGATAACGCCTTCCCTGGCTTTCTTGTAGAGGCCTTTGGTGTCTCGCTTTTCGCATACTTCTAATGATGTACTGACATAGCATTCGAAAAAGTTTAGGCCACTTCGTTGGTGTAACTGTCGTACAGTAAGTCGATCTGCTTGATATGGACTAATAGCACTAGCGATTGTGACGATTCCCGCATCAGCGAATAATTTTGCGACTTCTCCAATTCGACGTATATTTTCAGTTCGATCAGCTTCAGAGAAGGCTAAATCTTTAGCAAGGCCAGTACGAATATTATCACCATCCAGTGAAAATGCTGGTATCCCTTTATTGCATAAATAAGCTTCTAAAGTATAACTCAAGGTGGTTTTACCAGCACCAGATAGTCCTATAGTTTTGTTAATAAAGCAAGTAAAGTGATTCAATTTGTAGCTCACACATACTACTGTAGTTATGTTGATAGTAATTAGTAGAATGCGAGAATGTTGCTATATTAATTATTATAATTGGAGAAATGCATGTATTATATCATAGTGGCGAGATTTCAACATTGGCCGTAAGGGTTATTTCGGTTATTCTAAATGGATTCAGTAGGAAGAAGGGTGACGATCATTATTTAAGAGAAACTTGGAACATTTTATTTAATAATAATTAAAGTCACACAAGAGAATGAATTAGAAGCTCATATCATATTATGTTAGTAGTATCTGCTATCAAGTGATGTACTGTACTTTAGATAAATATTAATTATTACAATTGGATCTAATCTCCTGTACCGAGAGACAATATTGAATAATACGCCTACAGTGGTCGAAGTTGAGTTTAAGCGGAGATATTCTGGTAGGGATACCTACTATGAAGGTAATACTTTAAGAGGTGATCAATATTGTAAATATCGTAATATCGATTTAATTAAAGAGGGTTTATTATGATCTTATTAGCTATCGTGTGACGTGGGATGAAATGTCTGTATTGTACTAATTTATTGCGATAGTTCATCAAGATTTGATAGAATGAATTTTCAACTTAAATGATTCATGATTTCAATAAAACTCTAATTTAAGAAATACTCTAGCAAAGTTATTGTATGTATTATTGCAGTTTTCCAGCATAACAGCAGAGATTCAGTTATTGGTATAGAAGTATGCATTGTTATACTGTAGGTCGGTACCATTGCTATTCTATACAAAGCACAATCTAAATGATGTAGAATATTTTCGATGGATTTGATTTTTTTGTATTCAGTGACGCATGCTACCTAAGGGTCTCTAATGCTACCGATCTACAAAAGATAAAACGGTTAACTTGCTCGTGGAAATTTCTATGACGCACGTACGTAGAGAATTAATTTCCTTTAATGTCTCCGATTGTAATTGCGCAATTTGCCGATACTATTGTTTGTAGCAATTTTGGATCATGTCTACCTTTAGGTTTTATTTATCGAATCGGTGCGACAGATCGCTGATATTATGACAACTACTGTGGGCAATACGTGCAGCAACTATAAACTGTGATGGACGTTGATGTAAGATGAAAACACATAAAATTGTTCGTGATAGTTGTAGTGTTGAAAATTCTAATCGGCCAGACGATCATCATTCATCACAGTCGATGCGATGACTATGAGATACACAAAGACGACAGCGCAGTGTTTGATATTTTGAGAGGATTGTGTATAGAAAACAATAAATGATGGGGAAAAAATTCATTTTAGATAGTGTTGCCGTTATGCGACACTATCGATCGTTCTTATCGAGTTAATGAAGTAGCTATGATGACCATTGCATACGGATAAAACATTGGTATTAACAAGTCGTCCATGTTGATGGTTAATATAACTGTTATTGAAAGCTTTTGCTATCAGCTTTGTTGGTATCAATGTACTTCATTCGGATACGATTCCTAGTACACTACGTATGGTAATGTTATCATCCATGATGAATTCAAACAAGTATTTTGCAAGCTTTTCTACCCAATGAAACAAGATTAGATTAATGTAGACTATTGTATCATTAATTAAGGCAGAATATCCATGGATCGATTGGATACATACGCTATTATTTCTTTGAATCAACATGATGATTGTAAGCAGCAGCCATGTGAATCAATGAGCATCATTAAGCATGTCCTAAGAAAATATTGAGTTGTATTGACAAACCTGTTAACCAAATAGTACAACCACGGAATCCACTTCTATGACCAAGAACTTGGCCGCGTTTCTCCCTAGTAACACGGCTAGCTTCTGGTGATAGGAAACGCTGACAATTTGAAGCCATTAATTTCCTCCAAAATAATAATATCAACTTTCCACGCCGCGACTAGCTAATATAGATTCGATGATGCTAAGAGACGCTTGTCCTGCACATGCGCCTTGAGGGGACACGGGATCACTTGTCACACCGGAACGCATCCCTTTGTTTCCAGCCGAGCAGCTGTCAGCACAGTACTGTGTACTGTAAATTACAGGTTTACACTGTACTGTCATGTACTGTACACTGTATCTTATTCCTCTAGGTGGAACAGTAAAGTGCTCAAATACTGCAAATCTGCAACCATCTCAAGTTGAAGGTTAGGTGTTCAATCCAGTATTTAAAACGTTGATTCCTTGAAGCTATCTAAATAGATACAAGCGCTTATTACAGTATACTGAAGACTGAAAGACCGCAATGATGACCTCTTTATTGCAAAGATTCATTCCAAGATTACTAACTCAGGATATGCTACTCATAGGAGAAATGCGTAAGAGGACATGCAGCCGTGCATTGGTATCGATGGCGAATCAAAGTCCCGATGATGATCAGAACAACAACAAAGTAAATACGACTAAAGAAGAAAGTGATTCTACTGAGAACGATTTGAGTGCTTACACCAATCCTGAAACAGGTGAAATCAATGGACCTAGAGGCCCGGAACCCACACGCTTTGGAGACTGGGAGCGCGGTGGAAGAGTTAGCGATTTCTAACGAAAAAAAATGGTGCCATGCAAATCAGCTTGGCAATTTTTGACTAATTGAAAAAGTTAATTTACTCTCAACACGATAACTATATCTACTGTAAAGGAATTTCAAGTAGTCTAGCTGGTCTGAAGCAAATTCGAAGTTAAAATGTATTCCTGCGGTAATAATATTCTTGCTTTGATGTTAAAATGTCGGCCTAATCTATTACTGGATTGTTATCCTTAAATTATTTGGTTATGGTATTAGGCATTTGCATTGCCTTCCGTTGGCACAGTAATCTTTATTTAAATATGATGCTCCATTCAATCCACTGTATACGTATATTAACTTGCTATGTCCACGGTCTTTAATCTCAAATCTCCTTTGCTACTAATAAATATACTGTACAGTACACTATGTACCGCAACAACTTATGATAATACAGTAGGTGAAGTGTAGAACGTAGTCTACATGTAAATAACAGGACCCTATAAAAGGATTTTCCGGTCTCTAGTGTAAATGCTCAATTCATTGTCGTTTCAGATTTGACCATTTATACAGCATCGTATCACAGCATCGTATTACAGTATGAATATCCAACTGATACATGAGATTATTTTCTTTAAAATTGCATAATGCATAACAGCTCTATGTGCTGCAATACTGATGAATCTATGTAAAGATTGCTCAATAAAATTAACAAAATCATCTCAATGATCAAGATCTTCAGCCTACGCTTTTATAGCTTAGGTTTTTATGCTACGTACCAGTACTGCATAATGTAAATGATAGTTGGCGTAGTTTTTGATTAACTCTACGTATGATTATAATTACAATTAATAAGCAAAACAAGATATTACACGTAGAAAATCTGTGAAACCTTTTGCAATTCATTCCTGATTCAAAGACTTACAACCATCAATCAATCAGCTCGTTACAGCTATTGACAGCGACAAAACGAATTTATAAATACGAGTACATACTTAACTTTCAGCACTTGTGAGGTATTTTTCGTATAATATGAGATAAAGCGGCAATTTTAGCAATATCGATGAGTTGTTGATATTATTATTCAGTTTTAGCATTAATAAAATTAGTCTTATTAATCCAAATAGGCCTCATAACCTCTATCACATTCAACTACATTAAATAATTATGTAATGTAACTTTCTGCAAGCTCTGAAAACAAAATAATACAATTTAAATTTTGTCATCAATAATATAATGCAATCCTATACATTGCTATCTTCGTTATGATATGCTTCTATGCATATTCTGCTTCTGAGATTTGTTGAGCGAATAGAATTTTACATATACGGTATGAAACTACCTTGTCCAAAAATCTTGATCGGCCATAATGCCTCCTACTTCATTATTAAATTTCCGACAAATACGTATAAAAGCAATACAGTAATTCGTTTAGCAATGACAGGTCGAGTAGGTAGGGTTTCACAAAATATGACTTGTAAAGATTACGCGCATGTGCTCATATATGCGTATTTCTCTAGTACATTTATCAGGTGCTAATAACAGAGCTTGCAATCCCAGTGAGCATCAAGACAATGTTTATAATTTCCTGTATATATTCTTCACTATAAGAAAATAAATTAATCCTAGAGTATATTATGATTTATTTGTAGGGCGAAACAATGCTAAGAGATGTTTCAATTCCTCTTCATTGAGTGAGACTTCACCTTTACCATCCACGCTTTTCTCCTTCTGCTTGCCGCCCCTTTCCTTTCTTTGAACATTTAAATTTTTACTACGAGCTTGAAACTTTGCTGAGGAGGTTTTACCTATGTCTTTTTCATTGCTGTGTTTATTATCGCTACCTTTAGTTTTGCTAAATTTAGGATTTTTTTCTTTCATCAGATCAACATTCTTTAAACTAGGATTTTGTATCTGATTAGGATTAGCAATGCTTTTTCTATATTGGTTAGAATTAATTGAGTGAAGATCGCTATTTACTCGTATATCATGCTTTGTTCTACCTCTCGTACTAAGGGATTTTTTGGTGTCATCTTTTGATATTCTTTTACTAATTGAATATTTGTCAGAATCACTATTTTCAGTATCACGAACGCCATTAGCGAATTTATCGCGAAAATTTACATAAGGGTTTATCTTTGTGCGATCGGAAAGTCCTGTTAGATGGCTACTGTTAAACAATGATCGATCTATTTTATTATCACGAAATCTTTTCTTGTGATGAAATTCCACTAGCTGATGCTGCCAAGGGGCTATCAAAGCATATTCATCCTCGTAGTTTTCATATTTATCATCATTGAAACCATTAGTAATAGAATGCTTCTGTTGCCATTTCATCTGTCGATTAGCTTTTAATTTCATAGCAATAGAATTCTGACGTCTTTTTATTTCTGCATCTGGTTCAAACCGTGATTTTAAAATTCTACTTACAGCTGCATAACTGATCTTAAATGTACTTGAAAGCATTTCCTTAGTCCAGTATCCCGGATTGTCATCTGCTAGCATTCTTATTTGATCCATTTCTTCTCTTGCAAGACGCTTTTTAGGCTTCCATTCAGTCTTTTTATCTTTCAGTGCCTGTTTCTTGGCTCGCCAATTGATATCTGCTTTCTCCCTGAAAAGTATCATGGCACATCAGTTAAGCCTACAAACGTAACAGCCCTAGCTTCTTGCATTATGATTTATAACCATGGCAGGTGACGTACTGTAGCATAAATCGTAAATGTTGTGACCTTGTACTGACTTACTGCCTTGTTAAGTGCTAATGATACTATGTACAGTAGTTGCAAGCGCACGTAGAATCATGGACTACTAGAAATTACTACTAACAGTTTCGAGCAGTTCATGGTACATTCATTACAGGTCTGTGAATTCTGTGCATTTCTCATGCTATGCATTCCACGTTTTTTTACCAAGTAACAAGCATACTATTTGAGATATACGCGCCGCTACATACAGTAAATATCTAAAATTATTTCTAATGTAGCATACATATCTTATAAGTAATAGGTAGACGCTGGTGTCCTCGCTAATAAAATACAAGAAATAAATGCAATACTGTATTGTCAAATGGGCTCGTAAACCGGATTGATATCAATTTACGCGAATACTGCACTCCACTGAGATTTTGCATACTGTAATCGCATATTTCCATTGGACCCGCAATTGCAAACTCAATGACTCAATACAGAGTGTCTAACATTATGCTACTATAATCTCCATTAAGTAAAAAGGCTCAAGTTTGAAATAAAGCTTACATGAAATCATCATCGTCGTCCTCGTCAAATAATTCAAGTCCTTTGTTGTAAAATGACCTGCCCCAAAGTTGGAAATAACAGGAGTAGGACTGTCTAAATCGCTGTACAGCAACATTTCTATTCTTTAATGAGGATATCAAGAGCGATAGCATCATGAAGATCTGCACTGCATCTATTTCTGAATTAATTTATACTGAGTGATGGTTTATTTCCAGCTTAGAAATGAGATTTTGCAAGATATCGAGGTCAATTTTGTTGAAGAAATTATGGGCCGCCATTCTATGCAGAACTAAAGTTCCATCCAAGTTGCATCGTGACTAGAGTCAGAGTGATTTAGTAGCGCTCTGTACTGTACACTGTACACTGTACTGTACAGTATAGTACCGTACTGTACTGTACATTGACTCTAGAAGGATGAAAGCTTGAAATGTGAAACTGTCCTCGGATGGATGGACTTTTCTTACAAGATGAGGTAGAAAATGTCCTATACTTAGTATGGATCTTCCGTATCTATTTTCTTATTCGCTATTATTAATTTAAAAGAAATTTGTGATCCTCTATAACTACTTTCAAGCAGAACTAAGTAAATGATACTGGATTCAATATAATATTACTTAATGTAGAAAATATAAGATCATTATAAAATCAAGCATCTGCATACTGAAGTAATAACGAAACCAAGCGTTTGGAGTATTATTTTTTTGAACGAGAAGTGTCAAAATTCCCGTCCATCCGAAGAGCTCTATATAGTGTCAAGTAGCGCCGGTACGTTTTGGGCATTAGGAGAAAAGCTTTGCATAGAGCGAGAAAGCTGGACTCGTCGCCATCTTCTTCACTTAGAAATTAATAATGATTACGACTTATCCAGAACTATTCTAACAGTGAAGTAAACTAAGACAATAAGATTCAACTTATCTCTCAAGATGTCTATTTCAAAAGATATTCTCGACGAACTCTGCAGGTAATGTTTGATTGGAGATTGGAGACTAGTATGCAGACGACAGTGTTATTGTTTACTGAAAGTAGGATAGCAGTAAAATGGACCAAAAGCGTACCCGCAAGCCTCGACAATGTCTGTACTATATTCTCGCAACTTGAGGAGCTGTACATAGCCTTATTTATCTCGAAAAATTTTACCGCTTTTTCTTGAACTCAATACTTGAAGTCTGCTAGTATTCCCTTACTGATTGATAGTACTGTATTCCTAGAATGCTTTAAGTAATGGACTGTTCTATGCGGTTATCACGCATTTACTGTAGACGCATAGAAGTGCCGACACGTAGGTAAAGGACAACCGCTCATGAAGTACTGTGCAGTATATTGCAAATTCTAAGATATCAATTGTAAACAAATACGAAGATGGTTCACTTGGTGTGAACTTTTCCTTTCATGTCATCCCAGTTATTAATTGAACAGCACTTAATACTACTTATCTCGCTTCGAATGACTACTGCGCCCAGTACCATTACAATTACAGCGGACGGACTAGCAATCCTTTACGAGCGAATCTATTACTATTTATTAAATACGAGTATAGTTATATATTATAATTATATATATATATTTTATTATAATATATATTATCAAAAACAAGCAATAGGGTAAAGTTTAACAATTGCTTAGAGCTAGTATTGTGATCAATGTAGGATTTTTTTACCATTTCTTATTGATACTTGTCAGTATACCATGGATAGCTAGCAAACCAATCAAAATATATCCAGAAAAAGTATAAAATTTTGATTTTTAGATACAATTACTTGTACGTGAACATACATATGTAGTGGTTAATTGTGATTAAATTTCATGCGATGCCGTAAACACGAAGGTATTTGCGGAGCAGTTGTCCTAATGAGCTTATAAACATTGCTGAAGATCGTATCAAAACACTGTAAAGGGTTGTATCGCTTTGTCTACCAGAGTTCGTAGTAAACAACAATTCGAACGCGTTGAACTATTACGTACTTGCTTGGCATTCATGATCAGTTATATAATTAATTATATGAGTATAATGTACGAGTGTAGTAATTATCCTCTATACAATTCGCTACATAGCAGAATGATTTTAATACGTAATAAGAATCGAATTTATGTTTAAGTTATTCAAATCTGCACTTTTTCTATCATACTTTAACTATAATGTGATACTTAAAATCTACAAATTGCTATAAGTGCTACGGATAAGGTTAGCTACAAATAGGATAAAAGATCCTGCGACCCTTATTTGTGCCCTGCTTATAGCTTACCTTATCAAGAACTTGTACCGTACACGTACGCTGTGTAATAGGTAATAACAATCATTGCGATGATATTAACTACAAATGTCTTTCATATTTATCTTTCTTTAGTCGATTTATTATTAATATTGAAGAAGAAGATAGAGAAGATGTTGTCAGGCTGTGCTTTCAGGTAGAACAAGCATACTGGTTTTATTTGGACTTTTTCTGTGCAGAATCAGCCAATAACCCGGCTATGAATATGACTGGCTTTGCCAAGATCAATATCCTTAACTATTTTATCAGTACAGTACTTATAATAGTACTGAAGCTCCTGCTTTAATTGTAAAGCATTATTTTAACGTACTTAGTATATGCCCTAGCAACGGTGTCTGTTTATCAGTCAAGCATCTTTATGGAAGTCGTTTTTGTGCCGTACCATGTATAATTTTTCTTGACCACCTCCACTCTTTAGACATATCCCTTCTTTGAAGGAATTTGCATATAAGGTAGACGATATCATCCGAGATTGGAAACAATATAAAAGTAATATTCCTGTTTACGGTGCCATCTTATTAGATGAAAGCGTAGAATACGTATGTATGAAAATTTTTTAAAAGTTGTGCTTATAAAGTTAGATTATACTATATTGGCTACAGCATATAAAATTTACAACTCGATCGATTCCTTATATAATCAACATGTACTTGATTTTGTACTTGTAAGTTACATATCACTTAATATTATATAGTGCTTATTAGTGCAAGGGTTTTCGCGTAGCTGGAGCTTTCCCAAAGGCAAAATTAACTATGAGGAAGATCCTTACAAATGTGCCGTTAGAGAGGTCAGCCACTTAGAGCTGCATTATTGGCTAAATTGAAGATACTGAAAGTTGCTTTGATTGTTTAATTACAAATCTGAAGTTGAATCATAATTTGATTTACATTGCGATAAATTTCAAATATTTATTTATCGTAACTGGTATTTAGGTAGAGGAAGAGACAGGATTTGATATTGAACCGTTTGCAAACGTATCAGAATTTATTGAAAGACAACTGCATAATCAGACTATAAGACTTTATATCGTTCCTAATGTTCCTAAAGATACGAAATTTCAACCGAAAACTAGACATGAGATTCGGGTAGCTTTATCTAAACTTAATATTGAGATAGCACTCTTAAAATTATATAAATCTTTAGTAGATCCCATCTAGCACGATCAGTTAATCTTTTACTGTAGTAAAAGTTTTAATTTTGTATTTATACAGTATTACTTACTCCATTATTTGCTACCTTAATTATTTTATCTGATTTAGAAAATTGAATGGTTTCGCATCAATGACTTACCAGTAAATAAAAAGGTTTCAGAAGCTGACAGTAAGCGAGGCATGAAACCTGCATACTTTTTCTTGGTGATTGCATTCATTAAGTAAGTTCCGATACCGTAGTAATGTTGATTATGTTACACTCATTCATCGTAAGAATTACGTTTTGCAGGCCATTAAAAAAGTGGATTACAAAATTCAAGGATAACTTACTAAAGCGAAAAACGAAAAGCAAAGAAAACTTTATGCAGCTGCTTAATCAAAGATTGCCAGGGCTTGATATTGAGGCTGGAAAAATGTACAGTCATCCTGCCAATCAAAGTAGCACAACCCCTGTTAAACCAGATAGAGTACGAAAGAGCGAGAGAAGGTATAGCGAGACTGCCCTAGAAGATTTTTCATCTACCACTGGACTTTCTGACAAAATAGGACAAGTGCAAGAAGGTCAAACAATTGATAGCCTTAAGAAAAAAATCTTACCAATAAAACCAACTCCTATTGACCTTGCTGCAACTGCTATAAATCCCAAAGTAGCTAGTATCAATGAACTGGATTCTACTCCAACGAATAGAGGTACATTATAATCACAATTATTATCCGATTATTAATGATCATTATTATGCAGGTAATTTTTAAATTTTTTTATTTTATATTAATGTTAGTATCAAAAACTATTCAACTACCAAAATGCCCTATGGAATACATATTGAAGACACCTACGGAGTTTGAGAATTTTAAATTTGATTGTCAAGCGATTATAGATCAATTTTGTAGGGTGTCTGCCCGTATTGTGTAGTGATTCTTTCAAGAACGATTTAAGTTGCGGGTTTTTGTATAGTTTACTAATCCCATTTAATTCTAATGTACGTATAACGATCCAGATACCATTACTCTGTACTCAAGATTGCTGTGTAGTGGTGTAGTATAAAATTGTAAGGATATACTTATTATCGACATTATACTTAAATACGTATATATTGGATTTGTATATGTGTAAGATCCATATACTGTACAGTATATAGTTAATGTTATGCGCTAGGATTCTGTTTCTTTTGTGGTCATTGTATTAATTGTTGCTACTATGTTGATAGCTTATACAGTTATTATTTGCAGTCAATTTGAATGATGTGCTGATCATGACGGCGTTTATTTTGATTGGTACCTAACTAATTGTAATCCTGAAAGGATTACTACAACTTGGTTTTATATATTCTTTGCGTCAGAGAACCCTATTGGTAGTAAAATAGATAACGTATGAGTATACGCGTATAAGAAGTATATGGTATGTGTAGTTAATGGCATCATTCCATAGGGCATAGCATGGTATGATTTTATTGGAGATGATATTTAATCGAACCGTTCTCAGGTCTAATCTGGAGATCCACAATTCATATACGGAGAATAAACAGTTTTAGGCTAAGAACAGTAAATCAAATAACTTTAGCTTATCTCCTGAGTAAGCTACGTCGACGACTGATACAAGGACTGTAGCATTATTGGTAAGGATATCACCAAAGGCTGTTGATGTGCAACTACATTGTGCTCGTATGCTTCGTCTACAATACTAAGCTGTACGGTGTCATTGGAGTAATTTATATATTGCGATCGTTTGGTTTGCATCACCTTTTGCACATGATGCCTACGTTATGACTTCAAGCCTCCATCATACTGCAAATTTAAAATAATGATACTACATACTATCCAGCTCCCTGTCAGTAATAGGATAGCTTTCCCTTTATGAAATCAAGTAGAGAGTTGCTGACTCAGCGAGGATCTATACAACGATATGCTGTAGGTCTTCATTATAATAGCAGACAGCACAACCGTAGACTCCAGCTTCTGTTTGCAATGTGCACAGTAATGATTTGACTAGTGCGATGGAAAGATTCATGCATAGACGCATAGTCGATTTGCAAAGATGATTAAAAGTGTAGTACAATATTGTGAAGTAATACTAAATGCTAAAAGGATTCACCGTTTGCGAAGATTGCCACCTTAACTTAATTAAATCAGCTCAAATTCATAAGATCCCACTCCAGTATTGCTACTAACTGCGCAAGTACTGATCATCGTATACTGATGACCGACTCTTGCATAAAACACGAGTGTATGTTATACAGCACAGTAGTGTTCCAAAAAGTGATGGTAGCCCCATTGTGTCTCATATGGAAAAAAAAGTTGTATGATTGCCCAGACGTACATCCGGCCTTACTATACTGTACCATTACTACCATGGGAAAGTAGTTAAGACAAGTAGGGGGGGCTTGTCCTTTTTAAAATATAGCTGTAAAAGTCTGGTTTGCAATCAGTTTGGAGGTTGTTGCTTTAGTTTAGCGTTTATCAAACGACAAATCCTGCTGATCTGTCGTCATGCAAAATGAATACAATTCAATATAATCCTAATCGTATTGTCCTACGTATTAAGCGACAATCATTTGATGGCAATGGTGACGTCGATTGGACCGTAGATCCATTTTCTATAAACTATCAAGACGTCTTGGTTAGTATGTTGTTGTTTTTCATTTTGGTAAACTGGGCAATTTTTAACCTGCATACGAGTAGGAGTATTTGCCCTTCGTAAATATACGATCAAGTCTAGTAGAAGCTCATCGAATGTGCAATGGAAACGATTAGTCTATTAATTGATGAAACTTACACGAGTACGATAATGTTTAGCATAAACTATTACTACGATTATGGTGTTGCAGTCGAGAAGATTGATGCAATCGACGAGATCGAATTTCATTACCGTATCAATTTGCAACTTGTTTTATAATCCTCACTAGATTGACTGGGTAGCAAAGTGAGCCAAGTAGCGTGCATTCCTTCTTCGTGCTGTACTCATATTTGCTTAGGATAGATGGATAATGTATATTTATTCATGATATTGTACCTTGACTTAACTATGCATAGCGTACACACGCAGTGCACATTCAACATACAGTAGTCGGTATTTTTCCGAGCTTATGTATCCCTTGCCAATTTTGATGCATTGATTTTCATCGATCAGCTATGGCTGCTCAGGTAGTGTAGTGCACTATACGAAAATAGAATATTATAATCGCATATCAAGAAGATGAAAGTTTTAAATCATAGTTCTCGATCTATGCGGTACTTTATGGCTTATCAATATTTCTATGGAAGACTTAGCTAAGTATTAAAGATGACATCATTGCCGTATTTATCGAACCACTATACGTATATTCATTTCTTTATAAATAGGATGCAATCAGCCGTGTCCTACAAACGACTGCCTCAGCTTTTGAATGTAAGTTATCAACATATACTCGTACCATCATATTGTATAGAACGATACAACGAATTGGATTTTACATCATGTCTGAATTATGAGATTCTACTGTATCGGCAATAATCGCCTAAGAATGCTCTCATAAGATATAATCCCATTCTGTAAACGTCATCGATTCGATCCGATTAATTACTTGTAGCTTAGTACAGTAGTTGGCCAAGTAAGCAAGAATCAATAAATCACTTTCAGTTGAATTATTCAATAACCATAGCTAAATACAAGTACTCCAGTAAATGGGTAAGTTTCAGTAATATTACGCTAGATTTTTCTACAATTTTTTGCCAATTTTTGGAGGTATACTAATTGCTATTGCATTAATGAAACATTCACAGCTTACAATAGTTGATAACAATGAAAACTACTTGTACAGCATATCGAAGCATTTGTCATACTTTTATTTTCATAAACTCTTGTTAGACATTTTGTTGGACTGTCATTTGCATTGTATGAAGATCCTTTTATACTTGCCTGAAATAATTAGAGCATATCACACAAGTGATACAGTACCTATCGTAATTCTAACTCAGAAGAGTATGTTTAATACGTTGATGACACTACTTTATTATCTGAAATTAATAATTTCGTACATGCAAGAAATGAAATTAGTAATACCGCAAAATTTAACAAATGTTATTTTTTAACGCATTTTTATTGATGTTACGGAACAACAAAGACGAAGATGATGATGGAGATCGCATTATTGTGAAAAGCGACGAGGAATTACGTGCAATGATTAATTATGTAATGATATGCAACTATGTTGATTTTTAATTAAATAAAATTAACATTTAAAGTTGAAAATCAGTTTACTGTTTTATACAGCTTTCATCCTTTATTACAGTGCAGTACAGTACTATAAATAAGTCTACTGTACGTATGGGCGTTTCTATCCCAGCAGCGGTTGCAATATGACAACCTCTCTTATTAAGTAATCCCTGATGACGACTTCTCAATGGAAGACATTGTTATTAAATTTCACTCTTATTATTTTATTTTGTTTCAATTATGCGAAATCCTTGATTCGATTATAACGAAATCAAAAATCCTTTTTATCTTCTGCCGTGATCATGGTATTGCCTATTGGTATAAATTTGAAGTACATCATGTCCAATGAATCTAGAGTGGTGCCTGCCATGCCACCGATGTTAATCATTTATCCAAAAGGTAAACAAATTAGCAACATTGCTTACCAACTATTTGTATAAAGAGACTTCAGTCGAGCAGGCTATTATTTATTAAATGAATATTGCTCGTATTAGTACACGTTATGCTGTATGCATTTCCAATGCATGAACTTTAGGATACGTCCCTGATGTTATAGTCACGCTTAAAGCCATATCATAAATTTCGTCAAGATATATTGAATAACGAATTTCCTATCGATATTCCAAACTCTTGACAGACTGACCTGCTTATCATATACTCACTGCTTTATTATTTAAATGTTCAGTAGCTAGCTATGAATAATTTGCATTATAACCACTTGTAAGTATGCCTACAGTACAGTACACTGTCATATTAACGTCAGTATTCGTTGTCTAAATCGCTAAGAGCACCGATTGTATCAATATATAATGAATGATTCTAAGGTCCAGTATGTAGACTATGTACAGTACAACATTCACAATTCTCATGCTCATTTTTCGATATATCAAACTATAGTCGTCAAGACGCCGAGAAAGAGAAACGTCCTTGGATTAACTGTATGTATATTACTTTAATCAATATAAAATCTCCTATGGAATGTCGTCAAATCTTTAAATAAATAAATATAACCTAAACGAAGAAACAATTAGAT